CCTACTCCAGAAAAATATATAAGTTTAACATATGATAAATATATACCTAAGTAAAATAATGAAATAGGTCATTTTCATATTAAGTAATCAAAGCTATGGTAAGATTGAGCACAGTCTAGAAAACGAGGTTGCCCTCTTAAAGGATCCGTAAACCTTTACAAAGTGCTTGTTATTTTTCAGTGTTAGTTACTAGGTAAACGAATATTGAAAAGTAATTGGTTACCGAGGAAAATTACTGATTCGGCCGTAACTAACTGTGGATACCTTTATACAGATGTTCCATTTAATTTTTGCTTTCTTTCAAGGAAATACAGATATTTTGATAAACAAAACGCTAGAGTAAGTTGAATAGTTAGGTGCACTCCGTGCACTACTGAATTTTTTCTACGAAAATAAGTTATCTAGATATTAAGTTCTCCAAATATACTTAGTTGAAAATAACTTACCTACATTTTTCGTTGTCTTAATATCGTTAAAAGCAAATGTAAATTCTGTTTGTCTATCTGTTGTTTGTTATTTTATCAACGAATATTCTTTTACGTAACTTAAAATTTAGTCAAACAAAAAAGTTAAAGATAATATTACTAATCAGTTTTTAAGGACTGATAATTCCTAAGCCGAATCGTACAGCCAATAATGATGTCGAAAACTAATACGCCATAGAAACTCGCAACCGGCGCTTGCGCATATCTAATTAATCTAAGTTCAATAACAAATATATTTTTATCGATACGTGTTCATGTTATCTGTCAAGGTTATAGTTATGGGAGGTCAGATACACCTTACCTGATGGTAAGCAATCAGCGCCGCCGATGGACACCTATAACAGAGGAGTAACGAGTACGTTGCTGACCTTTTCGGGATTAGAGATTAGGGGAGGGGAAAGATTGGGCCTCCAGTAACCTCGCTCATACGGCGAAACGCAACGCTGTGGTTTCACGTCGGTTTTCTATGAGGCCGTTGTATCACTCATCGCCGACTCATTCGTGCCGAAGCATGCCCTCATACTTAACAAAAAATGCTTAAAATATTTGGGTGATTTCAAATTGAATTCGGTGTCAGAGACATCCATACGCGATAAGCCCGCCATTTAGTTATTTATTATCAAATCAAACTCAGTTGGCAGATAGCGTTCGACCGTGACGGACGTGTGTTGTTATTGTGACAATTTTATTTGTGATTTTAATAGTTTACGAGTGCTATGGATGCTGAAGCAGAGTTGTGCCGGTCTTGGGTATGATCCTAAGTAATATAGAAACTGTTTGGATAGTTACCTCATTTATGCAAAAATATTTAATGTTAGTTTAATGATATTGACTTCAATTCAAGGTTGATTGTAGAGGATAATAAACGTTCCAAGTCATCATAGTTATTGTGTGTACTGTGCATTAGAAGTGAGGCGTATTTTAAAAAAGTATTTGTAACTTTATTCTTTAGGGATAGAGTCCGAAATCTGATGGAGAAACTCTGGATAGCTTAATTTGCTGCTAGTGTGCTGTGGCGTCCATTAGACTTTTTAATATTAACTTTATTATGTAGGGTTATAGTTCGAAATCCTCTGTAGAAACTATGTGTAACTTGAATTGCTTCCGTCTGTATTTTATAAGAAAAAAAATTTCGCGTAATTACACGTACGATAGTGTTTATTTTTAGGTTCCATTATCATATAATTAAATTGTATTTTACAAATGAATTATGTGAGAAATGTAACAACAGGTTAATGTTTTGAATCATTAAACATTATTTGTTATGCTAATGTTATTTAATGAAATAACTGTCGTTCTAACTTGTTGTTTTAGTTAGGCTAAATAAAGATGTGTAATAATGGTTAAATTAATAACACATTTAAGTGATACTATAATAAAGAGGAATTTATATTATCTACTATTAGCTTTTGCCCGCGACTCCGTACGCGTGGAATAGGGACTTCATGCAGATTTTTGGTATAAAAACTTATGTCCTTTCTCGAGTTCCAAACTATGTCTGTAGGTACCAAATTTCACAGAAATCGGTTCAGTAGTTTAGGCGTGAAGAAAAGACAGTTACTTTCGCTTTATAATATTAGTTTGGATTTTGTTACTTACGGGATTGCCATCAAAGAAAAACACTCTTAATTATTATAGGTACTATAAGTACGTACTACCAAAATGTAAAATATATATAAATACTTTATTTTACTTTTTAATAATATTACACACTTTTTAATATTATACATTTTATGTAAGTATTGATATTTGCAAGCAACAGCAATTTACTTACAGGAAAAATTTCAAGGATCACATTTTATTTAGGTTAAAATAGACACAGACAGTTGTTTTCATACTTTTCCTTTGTTTAAGAAGCTGTTTGGCTAGTATTGGTAAAGTCGTCTGTTAGGTATTTGAGCAGGATCCCATGAAAGTGAGTCCAGCAGTTTTTGAGTTACGTTACGATTTACTTTTTATATAAATAGGTAATTATTGCAAGTCAATGATGACTGAAAGTATCATTATCATGATATTATGATATAGTGTGATGTCAAATAAATATTATGTGTATCTAAATGTTCCATTTATAAACTTATCTCAACAATTGGCTAGCTTAGATAAGATTAAATCTAAACACTATATGTACAAAAGATTATGAAATAAATTCGCCATTGTTTGATAGAATGATTCGTGGTTATTTCATACAAAGTAGATATTCACTAAAAATTAAAGTTGTATTCTATGACAGGGTGAGAAAATTCTTACAAAATATTGTTGAATTTTCACCTGTACCTCAGTGATTGAGGTTTAGTCGTTATTTTTTATTTTTTCTTAAAATGAAGGTAATCCTTTTTTGTGAAGGGGAATTCATCAAATGACTTAGTCTTAGACTTGACATCGTGTGTAAGACTTACTGGTTAAAACCCTCCTGTAGGCCTACCATGAAGTGTTAAGGCGTAAATCTTTTGGGCGAGGCGTATAGCTCCATCCCTCTTTCTCGCCTAATTACTTTCTGTTCCTTCTACACGGTCGCCTTAAGGCGCTTGCCCTGCAACCCCGGCTAAAAAATTAAAGCTACCCAGATTGTATTTTTGTCCCCAAAACTGTCGTGTATGTATGTAGATCCTGTCATATTAGTTATAGTTATATATACATATATAAACTGTTTTATGGTTTCTCGATAGTATTCACGGTTCTGATAACTCTGGTCCTAATAAAAGCAATGAAAGCATGGCCAATTAACTTGTAGAATTGTTAACCTCCTATTTTTATGGTTTATATGGAGAATTTGTTAGAAATTGTGCCTAATATTACGGGAGTATGGATTTGTTCCTTATAAAAATTAATTATTACAATGTATTAGATTTATGGTGTAACTGTGTTCTCCGAAGGGATGTGCGCATTTAAAATAAATGCATTTTTGCAAGTCATGCTATTAGTTCTACGTGACAAATAAGGCTCATTAACACCCACTTCCTCTGCATAGTATTTTGTCTAGCTTTTGTTTCCAGCTTTAATCAAAATTAAGCCTTCCTCTACCATAATTATAAGCCTTTATTTTTCTTTGGCCCACATTATTATTTTCCCTCCCATTTCGATTATCAAAAATGTATACGAATAAAAGGAATAAAGTACATCAAAAGTGTTGAAAAGACTATCACTAAACATATTCGATGTTATTAAAAACAAGGTTTTTCTTTAGTCTAGGTCTCAACCAGACCTAGTTAGTCTAGGTTTAAAATTAGGCAGGCTTAAAATTAAACTTGAGCCAGTTTTTGTATTTCGAATTGAAAGTAGCTGGGAATAAGATTGAAAATACAAAACCTCGCCTAAACATAAATCTTATTTTGTAATAAAAGTTGTGTTGAAAAAATTCGCATTCTTGCAACCAAAAAAGAATCTTTAAATCCCATCTCTTTAAAGTCTTTTATTCTTTAAAGACAAATTCTAAAGCCTAAACATACATTTCGTTTTGATTATGGCCTTCCACAGTCAAGGTTAATATAGGTACGCAATCAATTACTTCAATATTTATTTTAAAAGTAAATATTTATATTTTTATTTAATCATCTCAATGCAAAGGTAATTAAGAAAACTGAGGTCGATATGTTAGGTGTAATGTTTTTCTAATTACCTACTATACTACCTATATTTACCTACCTACGTAGTTATTTTTTTTTTATTATTACTTTCTATAAACTAGTGCTTGACTGCGATCCTACCTGATGGTAAGCAGTGATGCAATCGTTGATGGTAAGGCGCACTAGTTTATTAAGACCCTATTCACTCTAGACACCTAAATTATATTTGGACGGAAAGACTGCAGCCGGCAAACTGTTCCAATCCCTCGATGTACGCGGTATAAATGACGAGGCAAAACGCTTAGTCCGGGCCGCAGGTGTCTCAACAACGTAAGGGTGGATATTTGCCGTACGCCGGGATGTCCGAAGGTGAAATGGGGATGGCGGAATCAAATCGTGCAATTCCTGCGCACACTCTCCAAAATGCATCCTGTAGAACACCGCAACTATATATATATATATATAGTTATATTAGATTAGCTTCCGCCCGAGGCTTTCCAAGCGTATTTATAAAAGTAAAGTATCCCGGGATTTAAAAAACAGCAGCTTTTAAAGCGATAGGTCAATTTAAATACGCTAATCAAGTACCTATAATTTATAGCCTAAGCCAAGCCTAGGAATATTGTAGCTACCTATCAATGAAAGAATTTTGGAAATCCGACCAGCAGCGGTTCCAATATTAGTACCTAAAGACTTTTAGACATATTGCTTTTTTGATGACGCATTTTTTTTAGGTTTATTTTATTGTGATTGGTTATAAGGAACGTAATACTTTTTTTAAACGATTATATATTTAATACATTTTATTTTCTAATGAGACTGTTTTCGACCAAAAGTACTCGCTTTTATTTTTATAAAACTCCTTAGAATTTATACAAAATCATTTAAGTCATCCTCATAAAATGAATATCATCATCATCAGTCTATTGACCCTCAAATCTGGCATTCACAGATCCGCAGTCACCAGAGAACTCCTTCAGGGTCCCGTGACTTCAAGGAGGCTACCAAGCGAGATGCCCTCACACGGCTGGAGGTCGAACTGGAGAGACTCCTGGCCTCAGTCCACGAGACGAGGCGTCCACATGTCGAGAAGGAGTTCAGAGGGTTCAAGAACCTCTTCAGCAGATTCTTGGCTGAACGTAAGTTTATTTTTATGAAATAGGTCGCCAAACGAGCAGACGGATTACCTGATGGTAAGCAATCGGCGCCGCCGATAGACAACTGCAACGGAGTACGAGTGCGTTGCCGGCTTTTTTGGGATAAGGGTTTCGGATATTTAAGGATTGGGAAGGAATTGGGCCTCAGGTAACCTCACTCATACGGCGAAAAACATCGCTGGTGGCTATTTCAAGCCGATTTTCTGTGAGGTCGTGGTATCACCCCGGTCGAGCCGACCCATTCGTGCCGAAGCTTGGTTCTCCCATACTTCACTTAATCTTGTTAATTATTTTGCTGGACTAATCCTTTCGATGGCCACTGAGTTAAGGTCTCCAGCCAGCACAAGATTCCTGGCCAATATAGTATACATCCAAAAGCAGAATAGGGTTACAAAAATACATAGATAGAATTTTTTCGTGGACAAACATACAAATACACATACACAAATCACCCGAAATATGGATCACACAAAATACCTATTGAACCCGCGAACCGTTGCACAGACAGCACAAACTTTTCCACAGTCAACTTTTAGATTAAAAGTCATGCCAAAATTGTTAACTTTTAGTTAATTCTTCCATTTATATAATTACAGAGGGCCCTTCAGTGACATGGGAGAAGATTGAGAAGCTGCCAGAGGGCGCTGTCATCGACTATTCGTCACTGACAACGCCCACAACGGACAATGTCCACCACATGCTGGACAAGCTGGTGGTCGTGAAGCTCAATGGTGGTCTCGGTACTTCTATGGGATGCAAAGGACCCAAGTCCGTCATTCAAGTCAGAAATGATTTGACCTTTTTGGATCTTACTGTACAACAGATTGAGGTGAGTTTTGGCTTGTTTTTTTATGTGGTTGCGCGGTAGACAGATCGATAACCTGATGGTAAGCAATCGGCACCGCCCATGGACATTCACAAAATCAAAGAAGTTACGTGTGCGTTGGCGGATTTTTCAGGATAAGGGTTTTGGAGATTTAAGTATAGGGGCGGGGCAGAATTGGGCTCCAGTATCCCCATCACATAGTATCATTGCAGTCGAGCATTGCTACGATACTTTAATGGTAGCTGAGGGGCGTCTTTAGGAGGACTTTTTGACTACATATTTGACTGCATGGTTAGACTAGTGGCTAGGTAATTGGCTGATGCACAATGTGTCGCAGAATCGATTCCCGCTTGGGACAACTCTTATGTTGACTCACAAATTATGTTTTGGGTATGGATGTGATGTACTTACATGTGATTTCCTATGTTTATAAACGCAACAATCCACTACTTTCAACGACACTAAAGAGTCCTAGCTTGGGGCAGAAACTAAAAATCGCATAAATTTTTGTTTAAAGGGTTAACAGAAGTTTTGTTAATGCAAGAGATAAACAACTGATGCCAACAATAAATAATAATAAAAAAGAAGACACCAACTCAGTGGCTATAAAAAGTCTCAAAATTGCTCAATATTCTGAATTGCGATATAATACTTCGTCGCTTCGTACTCAATGATAATAAAAGTGTAATGATTGTTTTTTCACAGCATCTGAACAAAACCTACAAATGCAATGTGCCCCTAGTCCTCATGAACTCGTTCAACACTGACGAGGACACGCAGAAGGTGATCCGCAAATACCAGGGTCTGAAGCTGGAGATCCACACCTTCAACCAGTCCTGCCACCCTCGTGTGAACAGGGAGTCCCTGCTGCCTGTCCCGAGGCATGCTGACGTACATGCTGATATTGAGTCGTGAGTATAATTCTCTTTGATAGAATAATAAGAATTTGGGAGAGCCATGATTTAGCACGAATGGACAGGCTTGATCGGAGTGAATTCACGGCCTCGCAAAAACCGGCATGAAACTACCACAGCGTTATGAGGTTACCGGAGGCCCCATCTTTTCCCTCCCCCAATCCCTAAATCCGCAAAATCTTAATCAATCGGCAAAAAGGTCTAAAAGGCCGGCAAAACACTCGTAACTCCTCCATTTGTGACGGGTGTCCATAGGCGGTGCTTCTTGCTTACCAACAAACAGGTCATTCTTAGGCTCGTTTGCCATCCTATCATATTAAAAATGTCGGCCAGAATGGGCGTGATACCATGTCTCATAAAATACCGGCGTGAAACAATGCGAGTATTATTTATTATGTTTTCGGCTTACTCACGTAATAATTTGATGAGATACTCGACTAGTTTCAAGCCATGCTAGAGGCCCATATTCATGAGCAGCATTCATGGGGCATGCAAGCATGGGGAAACTCGCCGCAACATCACAACCAGACTAAAAGAACACATACACAGTGTGAAAAACCGAGACACCCATACATCGGCGGTAGCTGAGCATGCTTGTAGTACGGGCACGGCTCACTTCCTCCGTTTCGACAAGGTCTCAGTACTAGCGAGGGAAAAATACTTCGTACCGCGGAAAGTACGTGAGGCCATCGAAATAAGCCGGCGTCCGAACTTCAACAGAGACGGTGGCTGGGCATTACCACCTGCCTGGAAGCCGAGTCTGAAATCTGCATCAGACGGCACTGTTGCGGGTCTGGAGTGTGACACAGTTAGCGCGGTATGTAACACTGATTTTGCGTCGACCCGGGATTCGAACCCAACACCAACGCAGCTGCAGGCGGGCGAGTCTAGCGTGGCAACAGTGTCGCGCGCGCCGTCGCTGCCAACACCACGGCTAGAAGAAAGTGCGCGTGAATCACGGCAGAGGGCGCGTTGGGCGCGCAGACTCGAGTAGCCAGTAGCAGCGAGCGCGACGGTCGCCGAGTCGCGTGTCGCGGAATGCTGCTCATGAATATGGGCCTCTAGCATGGCTTGAAACTAGTCGAGTATCTCGTCAAATTATTACGTGAGTAAGCCGAAAACATAATAAATAATACTCGCATTGTTTCACGAAAGTTATAATAAAAATGCGAGTATTGTTTGAGTTCACCTTAGGACGGGTTAAGGCTATACTGTCGCTGACCAGATTTTTCTAATTATTTTTTGTCTGTAACATCTAAAAGGCACTTCAGACTGTTATGTGATGCAGTGTACCTACGGGCTTTGTTTCAATCCGATTTTAATAAAAAAACATAAACTTGGCGAATGAAATCAGGGCCCTTGATGATGCCTAACTGTATGCTTTATGTTAAATGTATCGTTTTTACAAAAACATATTTTACATTTACAGATGGTACCCCCCTGGTCACGGTGACTTCTACGAGTCCTTCTACAACTCTGGTCTTCTGCAGAAGTTCATCAAGGAAGGAAGGACCTACTGCTTCATTAGTAACATTGACAACTTAGGCGCTACAGTGGACCTCAACATCCTGAACTTACTCCTCAACCCAGACCCTTCGAAACCCATCTCAGAGTTCGTTATGGAGGTGACGGATAAAACCAGGGCTGATGTCAAGGGAGGTACCCTGATCCAATACGAGGACAAACTAAGGCTTTTGGAGATAGCTCAAGTGCCAAAGGAACACGTAGATGACTTCAAATCCGTCAGTCAGTTCAAATTCTTCAACACAAATAACTTATGGGCGAAATTGGACGCCATCCAGAGGGTGGTAGAGCAAGGGTCTCTTAACATGGAAATTATTGTGAACAATAAGCATTTGGCTGACGGTCTGAACGTCATCCAGTTGGAGACGGCCGTAGGAGCTGCAATGAAGTGCTTCGAGGGAGGTATCGGAGTCAACGTGCCAAGGTCACGCTTCTTGCCCGTCAAGAAGACCTCTGACCTTTTACTAGTGATGTCCAACTTGTACAGCCTGTCACACGGGTCGCTAGTGATGTCCCCACAGCGGATGTTCCCGTCTACTCCTTTAGTGAAGTTGGGTGACAACCACTTTGCGAAAGTTAAGGAATTCCTGAATAGATTTGCCACGATACCTGATCTGATCGAGTTGGACCATCTGACAGTGTCTGGTGACGTCACGTTCGGCAGAGGAGTCTCTTTAAAGGTTAGTTGAGTTGGATATCTAGCTTATTCGTGTCACGTTTGAATTTTAAAAAACGTTTTATAAAAATATGAATAGAATAAATATCACTATGATGTTTATTGCGCCATAGACTGCGCTCTGATCTTAAAAAAAGCAATATTTCAAAAATAGCTTCCGCCCGCCGTTTCGTCGGTATGGTATGTTGATATTAATCCAAGATATGACCTATACATACATAACAAATTTCAGCCATATCGGTACAGCCGGTTTTGTAATAAACATACATCCATATATTGTTACAAACTTACATTTAAAATATTAGTCCTACTAATATTTTAAATGTAAGTTTAGTTCTTTGCTCAACCTGGAGAGGAAAAATTATATCTCATTAAAGTATAAGTGTTTTGTTTTCTCTTCGCATATTTCAATCTAAAAACTAACCCGCATTTTAATTTAAACAGGGCACAGTCATCATCATAGCGAACCACGGTGATCGTATCGACATCCCATCTGGAGCGGTTCTAGAAAATAAGATCGTGTCAGGAAACCTTCGTATCCTGGACCATTAAGGGTGCAATCAGGTACCGACCATCATACCATGAGTACATCACAATACCTTGAGCTAGTTCAGCTAAGTTCCACGTTGAGGAAAAAGGATAGCGCTATCTGCCCTATACAATCACTTCACAAGGTAACTATCGTGAGAATACCAAATATATTGAAAATAAAGACTGAGCCACGTGGATCAACTGATAAAAGCTCTACTAGTTTCAACTCATAACGGGACTCTTATTCATGAAGAAACGCCTAATTTCTCAGTTTATTCACGCGAGTACAATGCCGCTGACGTATCTTGGCGACTCTGAAGTTAGCCGATTAGCTGCGCAGTACAGGATTTCGTTCCTAAAAGATCCATTGCGCAGACAAACGGCTAACTTCAGACTTGCCAAGATACGTCGGCCGTACTGTACCTTAGTCGTTGTTTGCAATTAACTTGACAAGATTTTGCTATGGTTGGAGAAAGTTTTCGCATATTGTGTGTTTTCTTGTTATTTGATGGTTGCTATCAATTTGTTTTTAACGGGTTTACATGGAAAACAAAGAAAAAGTTATTTGTAAAATAATGACACAATTTGCGAACTTCAACTTAGGCTAACACCCGGTTCCCGAAAGGCCGATCAATGTTAAAATCAATTTAATCTCTTGTCAAGTCATCTGATTGGTTGACTGAATTATGAACAACCAATCAGATGACTTGACACCTCGTTAGTTGATTTTAACATTCATATCAGCCTTTCGGAAACCGGGCATAAATCTTGCCGAGTAATATAGCTCCATCCTTGTCACTCTATGTCAAATACCTATATCTGGGATGGAAATTTTGATTTAGTGGAATTTTACCCATTCTGAGTGGAGAAAAAGGATTTACTGGAAAAAAATCGTTATGGAATTTTGAAAAGTATGTTCATTGTAAAATGAATGTTATAATATGTTGTTATGAATTTATTTTAGATTGATTTGTTATATTTTTTTGTTCGATTTTTAATCTAAATTATTATTATTTAAATTGATATATTACAAAAGGTTTTTTTACCTAAAAAGAGTTTTGTAAAATTTTGTACTTATAAAATAGTGAGCTTGATTTTTTTGCTACACGATTTTTATAAATGTTTTTTTTTTTCGTCTGTAATATTGTACGTTTTGTGCAATTTTATGTAATTGCAGGGTGGTATTTTAAAGAGATATTTATTTCATATACTTACATAAATATACTTGTTTTAGAAAACTTTTAATTTTACGAATTATTGTTATTTGGCGACATTTATATCTTGAATAAGTAGCTGTTTTTATATAAAATAAACAAAAATTGCGGTCGAAGAAAATCTACTTCGCAGAATATTACATGTTAAAAGTCTAAATTTCTTATTAAATTATCATTAAGATCGATTAAACTACATATTAACACAACTCACAAATAAAATACTTTGTAAATATGGTACAGAACTAGAGTCCGTGTTTTCAAACCTGGTAAACGCCTTTCCAACTACAAAATAACAAATCACTTTTTATACTCGCTAGATGGCGTTGTTGCAAATAGTCTTTATAACCAATGACAGTAATTAAAATGTTAACTCTCCAATGACTGTTCGAAATGTTTTCTATTGGGCCAAACTCAAAGCGACACTAGCGCCACCTAGTGATAAGAAAATGTATTTTTGATTTGCGTAAGGCGAATAAGAGCCTCTTTCATTAACTTCATATAAGTTCCAGTTAAACTTATATGGCATATAATCCACACAAATTAAGTTTTATATTCCAGTTTATCTGGTACATAAAGGCTGTCTGTACGTTTATTGTAAATAGATAAATATACAAGCAATATTGAATTGCCTTGTCACCTTAATAATAAAATAATAATCATTTTAAGGTAATCAACACTCTAAATATATTAATCATAAAGTGTATATTCCAATGTTTAGATTCATATTTTATTTTATATTAAAGTCAAAATTTTGTATTTATGTACGATACATGTAATAGTTAACCGTAACAATACGAATATAAAGTTTAATTTCCTTAAACGCATTGCAACAAAAAATGAATGTGTTGCGTACCAGAAATTGAACTTTATATCTATTGTGTTACGGTTGATTTTGCCGTATCATACAAGAACAGAACATTATAATATCTTACAATTATTAAAAAACAAGATAGTTGTATTAATTTAAGATTTAGTGCCATTACCTAAGTAGGTAAAATGTTGTAATAAATAATATTATGTTTTATTCAAAATATGTTTTATTTACATCACCCTGTATTATAAAATTTAAAAATAAACCTTTTATTCCTTAATGTCTAGTACAGCCAGTAACTTATTCCCGTACCAGCGAGGATTTATGAACTGAATGACTCCAAATACATAACTACGCTCAAAACGCCAGTGACAGACCGTTAAAGTAAATTAAAAAAATCATGGGCGCCATTAGTAGTAGTTACTGGGCACACCTGGGGCACACAATAAGACCATTGTGTTCCCCAGGGTTATATGTTTTGTGTTCTTTTTTAACACCCTGTATATATATTTTTCTAAAATATGGGGGTAATTTTAAGTTTGTGCAACACACCAAATAATGCAACATTCTTTCTTTTTTCTTTTAAAAAAACGTTGCCCCACACTAGAATTTTCTCTTGTGTCGTGGGTGCGTTTAAAAACATGCAATTTCACATGCACATCACACCCAGAACCGAAACAACAATTCATGGATTACACAAACTGTTGTTCCGTGCGGGAATCGAACCCGCGACACGTTGTACGGCAGCCAGTTGCCCAGCCACCGCGCCAATCATGAAGTCATTGCGTTGTAGGTCGCGCGTCATAAAAATAGTTTTTTTGCTTTTGCTACAACAATAACTAGCATACTCAGAGACATTTAATGATTGCTTAAACTATTACTAAGTAACGATTTTGTCTTTTTTATGTGATAGAGAGACAAATGAGCTGACTGATTACCTGATGGTAAGCAATCGGCGCCGCCCATGACATCCGCAACGTCAGAGAACTAACGAGTGTGTTTCCGGCCTTTTGGGGATTAAAAGGCTTCGGAGATTTACAACATATAATTACGCATTATTAACGCGAAAAGTACCTAGTTATTTTTTTATTGTTGTTGTCTTGTGCGAGTCTAAATAAATGTTTTTTCTTTCTAATATTTCATTGTATTGAAACGTCGAAGTAATTTATTTTTGACCTAGGAAACTACCCAATTATTACCAAGGTATTTAAATAATACTTTTCGCGTTAATACCCGCGTGATTATATGTTGTAAATATGAAACGCGAAAGTTTCGAAACATCGGAGAGGAGAAAAGTAGGGTCTCTGATAACCTCACTCACACGGTGAACTCACAGTTCACGCTGTGCTTCACGCCGGTTTGCTGTGAGGCCGTGGTACCACTACAGTCGACCCGACTCATTTATGCCCTAGCTTGGCTCTCCTACACATTTATTTATTTATTTATTTGCTATTTTTATCTAAACATTCCTTATCATAATTCAGTAGTAGGTTCGTCCATGTAAGGCTGCATTTTGCTGGAGATGAAGCATCCGGCGGCTGAGAGCGCGGCCAGCAGCGTGCTGGTGCCGCCCGCGATCCATATCGTCGAGGCGTGCAGTAAACAGGCCCCGTTTGATGAATATACACACGTCATGTCTGTGGAAGTAAATAAGAAGGATTGTTTATCTGTTGGCATTTTCTTTTTCGGTAAAAACGTTGCCCTACTTTAGGATTTTCTCCTGTGTTGTGGGTGCGTTTACAAACATACAATGTCACAAACACAAGACACCCAGACCCGAAACAACAATTTGTGGTTCACACAAAGTGTTGTTCCGTGCGATCGAACCTGCGAATCGAACCTGCGACACGTTGCACGGCAGCCAGTTACCCAGCTTTTGTGTACCTATCTATTCACCCTGTTTTACGGTATTTTATTTTCAAGCCTAAGTACAATTGAGCCGAGATCTAGGCACACGGCGCCATTTTCCTTCGTTAGTTGATACGCACACATTCGTTGATTTCGTCAGGGTTTATGACGTTTGGCGCTCTGATTGGTCTGCTCCAATTTAACCAACCAATAAGAGCTAGGTAATCGCGGTGACGTTTTGATGGAGTTAACCTAAAAATTACTACAATTCCTATTTGCTTATAACACTTAGAACGCCATGTCGGACAATGGTGTCCGACGTTAGCGGAGCTTTCAAGAGTTTCTGTCGGCAGTCAGATGCTTAAAGCTCCTACTGTTGGGGCGGAATGGCGCTGAGTGCTTATTGCTGAGATACACTAGGCTCGTGCCTACTTCTCTAAATCATAATTAACTGCTTAACTTATTTGTTAGTCTATAGTCCTATACCTACATACTTACATTGAAAAGTAAATTAATATTGTCATAAAACACAATTAGCTAATCATCATGTCACCCATAAGATATACACAAGGTACCGAAAATAGGTCACCTCTTAATTATTATGTGCACGTAAAGTTTCAAGTCACGTCTGGGGCCCGTAAGTTCGTGAATATCGATACGGTCGGTACCTAGGCGTCGCTCACTCAATTAGACACAAGTGTTAAGCTACCTAAAGGCCTACCATGAATGACGTGTTAAAACGTGGATATTTCGGGCGAGAAAGAGGGATGGAGCTATAAAATGTGTATAGCTCCATCCCTCTTTCTCACCCGATGCCTTTGGCATTAGTTTGATGCGCGATCCTCGACAACTTAGTGGGTTCTGTAATATATTTAGATACTTACGACTTATAAACAAGTAGATTAAATGTCCGAGGATGAAGGACAGTAATGCCACTATCGCTATACTGGTACCGACGGCGGTTGCCTTGTCTATAGGCCGGACAGCTCGCAACACCGCCATACCTTGCATCAGGAAGCATGCCGCTGTAATTATTATTCATCACATTAGTTCTATGACAATCGTACTTCGTAAAAGTACTGTATACTCAAACTACAAATCTGTCAAAGTCAAAAACATTGTATTTTAATAGTCCGTCTGTCTGTTCGTCATTGAGGCTAGCTAAGCTCATTCCAACTCTCTCGATTTTCGAATCCTGTAGAATTATAGACTGTAACCTTAGTTCTTCAGTACGATAATACCTTAGTGTAACAACGCGCAATTTTTTATGTACATTGAATAATGCGAATGCTACACTGATCATTAAAAGTCTTCGAGAATCCTCTTCTCTTAGTCTACTAAGGCCGTTCTTTAGGAAGCTGCTCCCTAACTAGCTGATGCAGGACTGGTCAACTATTGGTTCTCTATAATTATCAATCTTATCAAGTGGGTTCAAAAACACAGATTAAAAGGTTCCACCTATGAGAGATTACCTTTAGCTTGTACTGTGGGAAGGGTGCTATGAAGAGCATGTCTATCTTAAAACCAAAAAGACAATAGGTAATTTTACTGACCAGCCACCGCCAGCATGACGGTAAACACAATCTGGTACGCGTTGTAGGGCAGCATGCACGACGTCAGCGAGCACGAGCCGCGTGCAGCGCGCATCGTGCCCAAACTGCACGCGCAATCGTTGAACAATCTGCAATGATATGTTTTGAATGTAATTTAGATTTGGAAAGCTTAATTCGTATGACGGATTGGGCTTCCGATATGGTGATATGTAAGTACGCGAGAGCCACGCTTCAGCACGACCGGAGTGAGAGCCTCACGGATAACCGGCGCGGCGTGAAACAATGCTTAGGATAAGTTTTGTCGTATTAGTGAGGTAACCTAAGACCCAACCCTCCTCCTATTCTCAATTCCAAATCCCTCTCATTATTTAATTCCTTATGCCCAAAATGGCGAAAATGCACTCATCATCATCATCATCATTATCATCATCAGCCTATAAGTGCCCACTGCTGAGCAAAGGCCTCTTCTCATACGGAAAAGGTTAGAGCATTAATCACCACACATTATAATTAGAAATTATAAGTCCAGGTTTCCTCACAATGTTTTCCTTCACCGTATGTCAGTGGTGTCTAAATAATCATAGAAAGTACATATAACTCGGAAAAGTCACATTGGTAATTGCCAGGTTTCGAACACCCTCATGCATGACAAGCGGGCTCCTTAAACTCCGGGCCACCGCGACATTTGAGAAAATGCACTTGCAACCTTTAATTCTTGCAAGTCTGGTATAGTGGTTGTGGGTGTTAATGAGCGGCACCTATTACTCAAGGGATCCGCCTGCTTAATTACCAACCTATCCAATGAAAAACAAAACTTAGAAAGAAAGAAGAAAAAGGTATTCGTCCCGAAGCACAGAAGTGGCTTTATCACTTCAAAATTTGGGTCACTCTTTAGGTACTTAGTGGAAACTTACAAAACCCCGTTGAGATCTTCAGAATGCGTGCAGCCAGCGTGGCATGGAGAGAAATAAGTCCGCCTGGTGTCCAGCAAACAAACCGGAGTGAAGCCGTATCGCTCTGTACTACATCTGAAAATTTAGATAAAATCGTAACTACATGCATATCCATCGCATTCCAAGGTGGGGTGTTATGAAAGGCCTCGGGATTGGTTAAAATTTCAAATCAAGAATTAAATATTCTAGATTTGAAATTTGTAATCAAATCAAATAAAATCTATTTTCCCAGGTACGATTTTCGATAAGTTAGGCTTGTAGGTCCAGGGCAGGAAAAGGAACGGGGGGTTTATAAGTAGACATTAAGAGTCTGACACTCCCTCTCGTCTACCATGGGCGAGAAAATGCATTTGATGATCAAATATTCCTTCCTCAAAAAAGGTTTTACATCCCATGCCATTTTTATAAGAAGTTAGCGAAAAGTAAGATGTACCTAAATTACCCTTTTGAAGTTTTACTCCACTCAGGCAAGAAATCTTGTTAGGTTGCTGCATTTTCGAACGACCGAACGACAAGAAAGACAATTATGGACATAAATCACCATTTACTGCTGGATATATAGATCCCTAATAGTAAACTGATGTCGATGTTCAGATCTCTGAATCTAACCACTAAAAGCCATATTGCAATATCTAAAAATCGAATTGAATGCAGTTCTGCCACATACCCGCAAGATGCACTGCAAGTAGGCTGGTAGTAGCTGCCGGTTTTGAGTCCGCTGATGGTGTCAGTATTACAGCTAAGCACAGTCAGCACTATGTAGAATGCAGTCACAAATATGGCGACCACAGCCGCGACTCGAGAGGCAGTGTTTGCCTTCACACCTTCTGGTCTTCGCGCTGAGAAACGTATCTTGAATATCTTTAATAGAACAGATTGTTTTGTTATTTGTGCCATTCTGGTCAAATCAAAATCAGTAGGTACATATGTATTTGAACAAAAAATACAAGATTGTGATACCATTTTTGTAGCAATATTGATGAATGTTGTTGTGCAAGACGGACTCTCAAATTCCTCTTAACTTTTTGCCAATAAAATAAAGAGGTTCTTTTCACTCTCTGCATAATGTTAACCAGACAAGCTAGAGTATGATGAGAGACAGATGAACAGGGAGTTTAAAGCACTTACCATAACAAATATAATGATGAACAGCGTTCGGAAGATACTAGAGAGCCCTCCTGAAGTCCTTGGATCCTTTGTGTCCACGTGAAACTTTGCCTGAAAAATGTTAAATACTATTTTTAAGGACCAATTTTTTGCTGTACTAATTTGGGGCTTAAATTCTTGGCAATCAAGGTTAATTTAAGTTTTGATAGCCCACCTGTACGTATGCATCGTCATAGTGCACGAACACCAGTACCGCAGTACTTAAACAGGAGAGCGCCACAATCTGCATCATCAGGGCCTTATTGTGGAGTAATCGACGAAGAGTTGGGAGTAGACCTGGACAGGAAAAAGATATATTTGTTATGACCTTCTGGTATATTACTACCGCACATATTGATAGTATTTATATAGTTTTAAGTATCGTAAACATCACATTTTCTTCAGAATATGGTGTTAAAAGATATCAAGAATTTAAGAAACTCTTTTTTGGCAATCAACAAATCAGGCCCAAAATACTTGAGGTTTAGTATTTCAAAAATCTTACTGATATAACAAATGAAAGTGTTTAAGCAGGGAAAAAGAAGCGAATAAAACGGACTTGACTGCAATTTGACATAGAGATAGATTTGAATAGATATAGTCTAGAATAGCAAGTATACTTCTTTTTATCTTGGTAATTCGAGTGAATCCGCTACCAGAAACTAATCTGAATGAAAAGACCATAGCAGAATGTTGCAATACTTACCAGTATCAACATATGAGTTTTCAATTTCATCCATCTCTTTGGAAGACCCCATTTTCTTGGGGAATAAGCTGAAGAGGAAAGAGAACATGAAAGTCAGCATGCAAATGGAGAGGTGAGCCTCCCACCAATTACTCCTCTCAGAAGTCGGCTCCAACCAGGAGCCTGCGTTCATACCCAGACTTAGGCGGATGGAGATCAGGTTACCTGGAAGAGTATTAAACAGTTATTAAAAAGAACTGAAGAATAATTTGGTGGTTGGATGCTAAATTTCGAGCTCAGTAGCGTCGTACGAGTCATGTATCGTACATGGCCCTCGCGCATTCACAACAGCACTTTTTCATCGCTTTACTCAAATCATTGTTATAAAGCGCCAGTACACATTCAGCACTCATATACAGCAGTACTCACTATTAAAATAGATGTATAGAATAAACATATATGCTTTGATTACACTGGTCAACAATGGTTTTGCCACACGAACTTTAATAGCTAATTTTGTTTTATCAATCTACCCTCATTATTAAATCACAGTTGCCATATGTCAATTAGCCTCCTATTTGTTGTGATACGGTAATACTCATTAACTAGTACTACGGCAGTAAACGGCACATTTGATAACTCAAGGAGACCTAAATGATTTGGTTCGAGATTTAAATTTGTCAAAAAAACAGTCAGAACTATTAGGATCCCGTCTAAAAGAATGGAATTTGCTACATCATAATACAAAAGTTAGCTATTTTCGAAACCGTGATCAACACTTCAGAATGTATTTTTCTCAGGATGGAGATTTGGTGTTTTGCAATAACATAAATGAGCTTATGAAAATGTTGGACATAGATTTTGATCTCTCTCAGTGGCGTTTATTCATTGATTCTTCGAAAGCAAGTCTAAAAGCAGTTTTATTGCATAATGGAAATAAGCTTCCGTCTGTACCTGTGGCCCATGCTGCAAATATGAAAGAAACCAACCAGAAGCTAAATATTCAAGAAAATCTTAGATTTTCTAAGTCATTTATAAAAAAATAAACTTTTGATTTACGAGATCCGTATTTTTTCTTAATATTTTAAAGTACTCAATAAAATAAAATCTTTGTCTAGCAAATTTTTTTTAACTGTTTATTTTTTATTACAATCACCAATTAAAGTAAAAAATATCAAAAAAGTCCATGTGGCACGACAAAGTTGAAATTTTGTTGACCAGTGTTATCAGTGATTTCTTTCTGTGACAGATGTTATCTACGTCTCAAGTTGTCTGCGTCACATCCAGACACCAGCAGATTATTTACATTTGCTTGTTTGTACTTATCCCATTAACATCTAACGATGGGGTTCTGACGGCCAAGTTTTGTGGATGTACCTACTATGATGATATCTATAATGAGTAAGTCTGTAATTTGCGATAAAATTGTGGTCTGTTTGAAAGCAAGAATTAAGATGCGTATTGTGCAGTTGACGTTCATAATGATAATCTAAATGGACGGATTATGAAAATGGACGTCGGCGTCGAGTCATAGATGTTGGCAACCAACTAAAACGAAATAATTTTATACATAGGTTGAGCATATTTTAAAACAGTTTTTTTCTTGGCATAGGAGTAGACGGATAACCTTATGGGTAGTTATCGGTGCCTTCCATGGACACTCGCAATGCCAAAGGACTTACTACAAGTGCGTTTCCGTTCTCTTGTGGGTTATTAGGGATTTCAGGATTAAGGATTGGGTCTACGGAGAACTCACTGCACACTGCTAAACACAACTTAATAGCTGCTTCTCACCGGTATTCTGTGAGGAGGTGGTATCACTCCGGTCGAGCCGTTCGTGCCGAAGCAATGCTCACACTTAATTAAATCTTACCATAAAAATACGATCCGTTCGTAGGGTCGTGGTCATCCAAGTATGTGATGCCGTGTGACCAAACGCTGACCTTCGCCAGTCCACACAGTATCACTGTGATGATCAGGATCGATGTCCTCGCTATTAGATTGCTATCGTAGTTGCTGACTGCTTCGTGTGTCTCGTGGACCTTACATAACTCTGGCGAAAATGAGAAGTGAAATGATTAATACGAGGGAATTTGTGGGAAGAAATTAATTAAGGGTGAGGATTTTCAAATTAGAATCTAGAAATTGTAGATCTTCTTTAAGTTCTGGTTGGACAACGTACTTACAACGTTTCTACGTATAAGATGTATCACAAAATGCAGCGCGGAAATATGCACAACTGAATCGGTAATGCATCAACTAATTTTGATTATGTTGCTACTATTCTTGGTTGTCTACTAAATGACCATATGAAGTTAATCACTAACTTACCCATTCCAATAGGATTCGATCTGGCAAACGGGAACGCGAGCACCAGGAGCCCTGATGCGGAGCACACAGCTAGCCAGCCAGAGAACGCGAAGTGTCTTTTGCCTTTCCCCCACCAGGCCACTGCAGCGCCCAGAAAAAACTCCACTCCAGCCACCCCTATCATTGTATAATCTGGAACACGAGATTATTTAGTTGTATCTTCTTCAATAGATTTGAAGTGATTTTTAGCTTTAACAAACAAATGGCACCTTCCTAAAATTCTCTATTGCTTCTTTAGATTTTGCATGCCATTTATGTACGGCGAAGTGTGAAGTTCACTGTTTAGCTCTAAGATCTTTCTGTACCATGCTTCTTGCAAATAAATGAATTCTAATTCTAATTATGTTGTTGTTGATATTTAACTTATTTTAGTGATTTGTGGAATAACTATTCCATTAGATTTCGAAAGCTTCATCATGATCATTATCTTTAGCCCTATTCAGTCCTCTGCTGGATATAGGCCTCTTATTTCCAATAATACTGCAATGAGCCCATTTCTCAGGTCTACGCATCCAACCACTGCAAGTCTAGCTCCACAAAGGTGGAGAGCTCTCTAAACTACCCCCTGAACACGTCTACCATAATAGACCGGACCTGTGCTTACACACATTATAATTTATCTTGTGTAGTTGCTAGTTCTTGTAAAAGATCTTTGGTTATAAGTTTTTATTTACCTAGAATGAGCATTGAATGATGACCTTCCTTGGCATCTCTCTTCAGCAGCAAGTAGACATTGGTCTCCAGCAGGATAATGATGAGGTAGGCTCCCTGCAGGAACAGGTCGAAGACCTTCAGTCTTAGTATATACGTCCTCAAGAAGTACCATAGCTTGTGGAAAACTGGGGATGTGATATGTCCAACTTTTATTACTTGGTATTGACAAAATATACTTCATACGGTAAGACGTTGCTTTGACGGTCCGGCACAGTTTCACCCGGATACTGTTTTACGTTATTCTCCTAACAATAAAGAACAAGACAAAAATATATCCAATTTAGTGTCCAGTCAGATGAAGTCATTTAACAGTTTTGGGCAATATTCTGGTGGCCCATTTTTATGTTTATAGTATATGTAATTTTGCTCTTTATTATGCACTTGTTAGGTACGTAACGATGTGAAGTATGAAATACGACTCTTGTGCAAATGGCCTTATATTTACCTAAGTTTATTGATCACATTGAAACTACAAAAGGTTGAGAAGAAGATTTGACTTCCTGTTGATAACACTAGGGTTCATTGTGAATTGGCAATTTCATTAGATCTTCAGATCGTTGCCTAGTTTTCTGAACTTTTTGCTTATGTAGAAAAAGTTTTTTTTATGTGATAGGACGGCAAACGAGCAGACGGATTACCTGATGGTAAGCAATCAGCGTCGCCCATGGACACCCGCAACAAAGGAGTTACGAGTGCGTTGCCGACCTTTTAGGGATAGGGATTTAGGGGTTGGGAAGGGATTGGGGTAGGGGAAGGATTGGACCTCCGGTAACCTCACTCACACGGCGAAACACAACGTTGTGGTTAGGTTAAGTAGTTTCTTTTTTTCTTTTTTCAAAATAGGAAACTGTACGATTCATTAGTCGTAGTTGCTACAGTGATAATCTGCATAGGTATCTCTCCAAGGGGCAAGTAGGCACATGACATAACATTGTTATCACAGAATGATAGAGTTATCTAGTAATCCGATTATTTAAATTATTAGTCGAAACGTATTTAATATTCTTGAGACTTAAGTATATCTGTGATGGTTCGAAGTGGAGCTTTACCAGATTGTGAAGTAATATTTCTTTTAAAGATTTCGACGATTTAGCCAGACGAGGAAACGATCACATCACCGGATGGTAAGCCATCGGCGCCTACCCGGTCAACATAACGACATAGTAGAGAAGAGGCCAACTAAAAATTAATATATTTCAATCTTAAAATTTATATTTAAATTATACGGTTCAATTTTGAATACCCTCTTTTATGAGTTAGTTCTGTTTTCTATGAAACATACGCAGAAGAGTTGAAAGCGCGATGCCGGTCTTTTGAGATTGGTACGACTTAGGAGATAAGGGAATCGCAAATTGGGGAGAGGCAACTTCTTTACTTTTTCAGTCATTTATGGGAGTTTTGATTTGAGGGAAGTTAGGGATTACAGCGGCGAATTGAGCTTCCGTTAACTTCCAAAAAAGTTTAAGTAGAGTCTCAACTCGCTAATAATGTTGTTACACTATAGATTATGTATTTGTGATAGATTTTACAAATCCACAGTCATTACACAGTATAAAACTAAGTCGCTTTCTTTGTCCAACAACCAAACACGTTTGGTTAAATAAAAAATAAGAGTGATTCAGAAGTAAGGTTTATATGTATAACATCCATTAAATAGTGGAGTTTACTAAAGTTTATTAGAGTGGGTCGCTAATTTTAGATAAATTGGGTAATTCATTTTATGTAATTGGTCGGCAAACCAGAATATGGATTACCTAATGGTAAGCAATTAGCGCCGCCCGTGGACACCCGCAGCAGAAGAGTTACGATTGCGTTGCCGATCTTTTTTGATGATTTGGAGATTTAGAGATTGGGGGAGGGCAAGGATTGGGCATTCAGTAACCTCACTCCCACGGCGAAACACAACGCTGTGGTTGTTTCACGCCGGCTTCTGAAAGGCCATAGTATCACTCCGGTCGAGCCGACCCATTCGTGGCGAAGCATGGCTCTCCCACATTTAATGTTAGGTATGTTATAAGTTTGACAATATTATGCGTATACCGAACCCTTTTTAAATTTGTTTATAGGTTTTACCCGTGGCTAATTAACTACTCACGTGTTGTATATTTAATTATCATAATTAATTATCCTATCTCAGTGATAACTCTTGATCACATTGAGCGTGTTAGTAGATAAAACCGGATAATTATCCGGATATCTTATTATCGGGATTTTTGCGTTGTTTTAAGTGCGAAATACTTATTACGTCATATGCTTTCGATTTGAATATTTACTGTAAAAATGCAACAGTCTTTTTTTTAATTCCAAGACTTTTTCAATAAGAATTTAACAAACTGAAAATCGTGACTAAGGTTTTCGTACTTTCAAAAGAAACTTGGATATCGCTCGGTATTCCTGTTTTTAAGTGTTGGAAAGTTAAGCAGGAATGGGTCAGCCTGTGTCCATGGTCACGACCATGGAGACAGGACACGCCGTCCTCTGAAACAACTTCGCTTGCGTTGTGTTTCGCCGCTTAGGCAAAAACACTGGACTCCATATAAGTAATTCCTCCTAAAATCCCTTACTACCATAAGACCGGCAGTACACTTGCACCTCCTCGGTGTAGCGAGTGCCCATGTGCCGCGCTAATTGCTTATCATCAGGAGTCCTCTCCACTCATCTTAATTAAATTGATAAAAAATCTGTAACTATTAGAAAATAATAAATAAAACCCATTTATAGCTTCCGCCCGCGGCTTCGCCCGTGTGGTCGACAAAAAGTTCCTATCACCTAAGCGTGAAAGAATAACAAATACACATCCCTAGATTCTAACAAACTTTTACATTTATAATAGTAGTTAGGGTAATTTGTGTTAAATCTTAAGATCGAACTCAAATTCATAGAAGTTCCTAAGAGTTAAGAATTAAAAACTTATTTACAATTTTCTCTTAACCAGCATCACTGATACTTAATTGACTTGGCATCTAGCAACCAGGAAAAAAATCACCAGCGTCATAAATAAAAAAAAAAACACAATTTCATAAATGAAGGATAAGATAAAATTTGTATAAGTACTCACTCGTTTTTCCTTGTAACGACATGTTGTAAAACAATATAAAAAACCTATATTAAATAATTAGAGATCCGAACAAAGTCTTAATTACGTTTGGTTATTCAAACGAGAGCAAAAAGACCTATTTACAAAGACACACACTGCCTTCAACACTTATATCAATGATTTATTTAAAAAAGAACACATTTGAGTTTGAACACACGAATTTTGAGTCATATTTGATCATTTATTTCTTATATCTAAAGTAAAAACATTTAAAAGAAACTTTGTTTGATTTAAAAACAACAAACAACTATTTCATGTCTAATAAAGGCTTTTTTTCGTAAAAATAAAGACACAAATGTCTAAAAACTCAGTACACGTGATATCACAGTAACAATATGAAATATTTTAGTTTATTGTCACCCAAAATCATTATCAGATAAGTGATAAGGACGCTGTTCGTTCGTCACTAGCCGTACAATAAAATATTACCTTATTTCTGTTCCGTAGTGATAAGCTATCACACATGTTCGATAGCAGAAAAAAGTTTGTGTTTTATTATTGTTTTTTTTTCTTTTAACCAGGTTAGGAAGACTGGCTGTCTAGATTAGAGAACTTTCGCCAGACTCTTAACTATCTAGATTAGTTTGGACCATGGTAGATACAACCACGAAGACACCAGAACACTGTCCGCCGCGTCCCAGGAAAATGAATATCTGTCTTGGATCCGGCTACGAAATAAATCATAAGATATTATTTGGGGAGAGAAAAAAAAAACAGCATTAGTTTGCAACAGCAATGACGTACCACAGATCGGTTTGGTTTTTATTTAGTAAGAGACTGGTCAATCCCTTTCGCCCTACTCGACAGCCAGGACGCGTTATTCTATGATTCTTCCTTTAAAAAAAGTTTCGAAAAGCGATCTTAGGTCTCAAGTCTACCAAGGTTGCGGGGTAAGCGCAATGAGGCACCGCGACCTCGGCCCCAGAGCAGGAGAAGGAACGGTTTCTAGTCAGTAAGAGTGACACTCCCTCCCGACCCTGGGCGGGAAAAGTAATTTGATGATTTTTCCCTCACAAAAAAAGGTCCTAGTCTTAGAAAGCGGTTCCTTGTTCAGATTCCCAGCTAGGGCATCGTTTCAAACTCGGTCCAAATACATGTCTCCAAAACACATAAAAATTATACATCCAAATCCAAATTAATATTATAAATTCGAAAGTAACTCTGTCTGTCTGTCTTTTCTTCACGCCTAAACTACTGAACTGATTACTGTGAAATTTGGTAAAGACATAGTTTGGAATTCGAGAAAAGACATAAGACAGTTTTTATACCAAAAATCTGCAGTCTAGTCTTAAAATAAGTAAAGGCATAAAGCATCATCATTAAATGAAAAACGTTATATTATATTCCAAAAATATTTTGATTATTGTAAAATAAATAACATTTTGTTCTTAATGTATCATATCTTAAATAAGTCTATTTTATTATTTTCTATATGCCATACATATTATAAATATGTAGGTTAATTACTTTTTATTTATAATAATAATAATTCAATATGAACTTAAAAAATGTCATGACTTAGCACCTGCAGAACTCTGTAAGCAGGAGAAAGTATGACGATTAAGGTATTGTTTTTATAAAACAATGTAAACAAACATACAAAATAATAATTGTTGTAACAATATTTTGGTCATTAGTCATTACCATTTCTTCGTTAAAAAATCTTATCAATGTAAAAATTTCAATTATCATAATCCTTCATTAGTCATTATGTATTGTGATTTATGTAACAACAAAATAAAATCAAAAATAATAAAACAAAATGTTATACTTAACTCAACACCACTAGATGGCGTTAGTAGACCAAAATATTGCACATAAATAAACAAAATCTATTTTCTACCATGCAATTATAGGACTTTATCTATCTAACACTTACATAATTTATTAAACAATTTTATTGACTAGTTTAACCTCATTGTACTCAATACATCTATCACATATAATATCATTATGTTTATATTTGCTATAGCTTAATTCCTAAATGCTATTAATTTAGGAGTTAAATGCGAGATTTGGTACTAGATTTTTACCTCCTAAGGCATGGATATAATTGTTTACGTTCTAACGTTCTAAATGTAAAATCGAAAACATTTACTTTAATTAGCTCTTGTGTCTGTTACTAGATGGCGGTAATCTATAGAATTTTATCACAAAACTTTCGATATTTAATAAAAATAAGTCATTGACACAAGCTATTGTTTTTTTTTTTGAAAATTTGTGTCTTTATTTAAGTGAAAGTTTACTTTAAAATAGAAGGGTCTTATTATTAAACTTTTAAGCCTTGTTCCAACCAATTCCAAAATTAATCTACACTTAAATTTACAATTCACAGATCTCGTTGTCACCATTGTCGGCTCTCATCTTGCTGACGATGAAGCTACCAGCTCCTGACAGAATTGCTAGCGCCACGCTGATTGCACTCATGTACCATATCGAGTTGCTATGCAGCAGACATTCTCCGTTCGAAGAATATACACATGTCATTTCTGTGGACAAAGATTACCAAGGTCAGCCAAGTTATTAACAAAAAATAATATGAAAATCATTTTTAGTGTTAGTGGAAGAAGTCTTTAAGATCCTCTTACAAGTTAAAACTGTTACAAAATTTTCTACACAAGATGCAATCATGAAACCGCCCAAACAGGCGAGTCCAAGGGACATGAATAATTATATTTAAATATATTTTAAGCGTGGGAGACCCAATCGTCGTCACGAATAAGTCGGTTTGGCCGGAGTGATACCACGGACTCACGGAAAACCAGCGTAAAACAACTGCAGCGTTGTGTTTCGCCGTGTGAGTAAGGTAACCGGAGGCCCAATTTGTCCCACATCCCTTCCTTACCCCAAAGACCGGCAACTAATTTATAACTCCTCTAAGCGGGTGTCTATGGGTGACGCTGATTGCTTACCATCAGGTAATACGCGTGTATGTGTTGGCATTCCAAAATGTCTAACCTCAGATATTATTCCAATCTATCTCATCATCATCATTATCAGATGGAAGACGTCCACTGCTAGACAAGGCCTCCCCTTTAGTTCTCCAAATGCCCTTATCTATTAAAAAGTTATTGAAAAATACTTACGACTGACAATCATGTATATAAAGTGTCCTATAACGAAGGATAGAAGTGACACCACAGATATGCTGGCTCCCATGGCCGTCGCCTTGTCTACCGGTCGCACTGAACGTAGTATCACCATACCTTGCATTATGAAACCAGCTCCTGTAAACAAGAAATCACTTTATTACAAAGAAATTCAAATAATAATATTAAGTATAGTTGCTGCATTTAATACAGAATATGACTGTTAAGTATTTTTGCGGGAAATAGGGAACGCATGCACACTTTTTGTTTAAAGGGCTGGAACGCACGGTACGCAGCCCACACACGACATACCAACATTACGGCGCGCATTTGTCGCTAGGTTTACCAACCTAATAATGACATTTAAAGAAATCCCATACCATCCCACGTGGGAGTGCCATGCTAAGTGTGGGCGATCCATGCTGCGGAGGTGTGGAGAGTCATGCTTCGGCACGAATAGGCCGGTTAGAACGGAGTGAAACAACGACAGCGTCGTATTTCGCCTTCCCTGCTCCCCATCCCTTCCCTCTCCGAAACCATAATCCCCAAAAAGCCGGCAACGCACTCGTGTTCAATTCCTTTGGTGTCGCGGGTGTCCATGTGTGGTGACTGGTGACGATTGCTTAGGTACCTTTAGGTAATCCTTTTGCTCGTTTTGCCGACCTATCCCATAATCCCATAATATATATATAATCAAGTAATGGTACTGACCTGAGATTGCCAACATTATAACGAACAGAAGCAGGAAGGAGGCGTACTGGACTAGACAAGATTGCAGCATGCACGAGCCACGCACTGCGTTCTGTGCGCCCGCGCTGCATCCGCAGTCGTAATACATTCTACAAAAAAAACATAAAGCCACGTTAACAAAACAAAACTTTGAAAGTTAATATAGGTACTTATTTAACTCGTGAGTTTTTTAGGAAACCAGTGAATTATGGGGTAAATTGAAAGCCATAATTCCTGACTCTACAAGACAATAATAAAATACTTCGTTTAAGCTTTGAAAATGAATACTAATAAATTGCCTTGTGTGTGTGTGTTGTTAATTATTGTGGATATCCCAACTACACGCACGAACTGCTACAGAGTAGAATTCTTTGCACGCTTCGGCACGAATGGGTCGGCTCGACCGGAGTGATACCACGGCCTCACAGAAAACCGGCGTGAAACAACCACAGCGTTGTGTTTCGCCGTGTGAGTGAGGTTACCGGAGGCCCAATCCTTCCCCTTGCCGAACCCTTCCCCAATCCCTAAATCTCCAAATCCCTAATATCCCTAAAAGGTCGGCAACGCACTCGTAACTCCTCCGTTGCGGGTGTCCATGGGCGGCGTTGATTGCTTACCATCAGGTAATCCGTCTGCTCGTTTGCCGACTTATTACATAAAAAAAAAAAACTCGAAAGGTATAACGTGGGTGTCTTCAACGCCCGCGTCAATAGGTTGCTATTGAGTAAGCGTGCTCCATCGTTGGTCGCAATATCGCTTACTATCAGGAGTGATAGTAGACAAATGCCTGTCCATTACTAAATAAAAAAAAAACCTTAACCACTCAGACCGGTTTTTTTTATGTAATTGGTCGGCAAACGAGCAGACGGATTACCTGATGGTAAGTAATCACCGCCGCCCATGGACACCCGCAACGGAGGAGTTACGAGTGCGTTGCCGACCTTTTAGGGATTAGGGATATGGAGATTTAAGGATTGAGGAGGGATTGGGGGCGGGGAAGGATTGGGCCTCTGGTAACCTCACTCACACGGCGAAACACAATGCTGTGGTTGTTTCACGCCGGTCTTCTGTGAGGCCGTGGTATCACTCCGGTCGAGCCGACCCATTCGTGCCGAAGCATGGCTCTCCCACACTTAAATAGTTTTAAATAGTTAGGTGGCAACACTTCTGATCGATTCGCCTACTATCAGGTGATTCGTTGAACAATCTGGTCGTTCACCAGAATCCAGAAAAGAAGTGTTAATATTAACTTACGAGATTCCATTGAGATCCCCGATTCGGTTGCATCCAGCGTGGCACGGGGAGAAGTAAGTTTCCCTCGTTTCCAACATACAGACGGGGTGGAAACCGTAACGCTCGGATGTACATCTGAAAAAACAATAAACTAACATTAGTCAGTTATTATAAGCACGGCTTTCAAGCGGGTCTTCTTTATTTTGACCAAGATTCAGAAAGACGGTGGGGCTTTTTAAACTTTGAAATATTTTAGAGTGCCTTTTCTCATAACTTGTATTCTATATTAATATTGCTAGCTTTTGCCCGCGAATCCGTTCGCGTGGAATAGTGACTGCCTGCAGATTTTTGGTATAAAAACTATCCTATGTCCTTTCTCGAGTTCCAAACTATGTCTGTCCCAAATTTCACAAAAATCGGTTCAGTTGTTTAGGCGTGACTAAAAGACAAACAGACGAACAGAGTTACTTTCGCATTTATAATATTAGTTTGGATTATATTCTTCTTCTACATAAGGTTTTGGGGATTCGAAAACTGGCGAGTACCAATATGACTTTTTCCCAGTTACATGTACTTTCTATGATTATTCGAGGTCACATACGGCGAAGTAAAACATAGTGAGAAAACCTGGACTTTTAATTTCTAATTATAAGTTTGAAATCACCAGTCCGCCTTGAGCAAGCGTAGCGATCAATGCTCAAAGGTTCTCCTAGTGAGAAGACTTTGCTGCGCACTTATACGTTGATGATGATGATTATTATATTCTACAAGAGATTATAATAATCCATAAACTTATCTTTAACTGCCCTTTCATCCATATCAAATCTTGGGTCATAGCGAGCCATAGGAAACGTCTATCTATGTCCAGCAGATTACGAAAACGGAGTAATAGTTGATGATGAAGTTATCAACAAGGTGCATAACATTTCTGTGAACTCACCCACAAGAAGAGCTGCAAGAAGGTTGTTCATAGGAGCCAGATTCCAAGCCTTTCATGATTCCAGTGTCGCAACTAGTAAATGTTATAATACTTAAGAAGATGGTCACAAACACAGAAGCCTTCAACGCCAGGACTGCTGCTGACTTTGTAGTCAAAGCTTCTGTTCTATTTGAACTGTTGATCCTGATGATCTGTAAAAGAAATAGTAGGTAAGTTCCGTTTATTACTAAAGTTAATGTAAATATCTCAATTATTTTGTTAACGTTTTCGAAATAATTCTATAAGCTAGCACGATACGTGATTGATGATAGAATAAATTCTCTCTCTCTCGTCCCCCGTCTGAACTAAGTAAACTTTGCTCGTTAAAACAACCTAGGCGTCTAGTTTATTTATATTAATTATTTTTTTAAATTAACGTTGGCCCACATTCCGATTTTCTGCTGTCTCATGCATGCTTTAAGTTTAAGTTAATTACTAAGTTTAAGGTAATTAAGTGTGGGAGAGCCATGCTTCGGCACGAATGGGTCGGCTCGACTGGAGTGATACCATGGCCTTACAGAAAACCAGCGTGCAACAACCACAGCGTTGTGTTTCGCCGTGTGTGTGAGGTTACCGGAGGCCCAATCCTTCCCCTCCCCTAATCCCTCTTCAATCCCTAAATCTCCAGATTCCTAATCCCTAAACAGTCGGCAACGCACTCGTTACTCCTCCGTTGCGGGTGTCCAGGCGGGCGGCGCTGATAGCTTACCATCAGGTAATCCGTCTGCTCGTTTTCCAACCTCTTACATAAAAAAGGTGGTTACGTGCGGAAATCGAAACCGCGATACGTTGCGCGGCTACCAGTTCCTCAGCCACCGCACTAACCTTGCAGCCATCATTAAAATACATTCCCCATAAACTTATGTGGCACATAGATTGTTAACATTACGTTCTATTTTCAAATTAATGTGGTACACAGTGACTATTATATGGCAGACTATGTACTTACCATTAAAAACATAATCATGATTGCAGTTCTGAACATACCGAGCGGGTCGCCCGTACTCCTTACGTCTGAGTTTTTGGTAGCCTCCACGTTATAACGACCCTGGAAAAGTTAATCAAAGATTTAATACCCCGTTGATTAATCAATATAATAGCTTAGCTAACAAAACAGATGTTATTGCTTATAACTTTAAGTGAATCGTAATTCTTATCAGCGATATTAAAATAGAATCAGCCGTGTTAGCGATTAATCGTAAAAAATATATATTATGGACATTTTTATTAATCATGTTTCTAGCGATTTATTCGAAAAGTCATTATTCATTTCCTCATTAGACAACAATGAAGAATTACCTTATATAAAAATATTTTCTGTATCAAAATGCTTTTAGTATCTACTCGATAAAATAATTCTTCGAAGGGAAATAGAACACCAAAATAAAGTGTTTGAACCTACTCTATATATAATTTAAATATTTTTATAAGTTCGGAATAGCCCTCAAATTTCCAATGCCTGGAAAAGGCCGTTAAGCTGTGTTCCCTGCTTACCTGAGCATAGGGTATTTCGTAAGCAGCGAAAACCAGTATGGCGGTGCTCCAGCAGGACATCGCTATCGTTTGCAGAATTAATACTTTGTTGGTGATCAGTCTCTTCAGAGTCGGGAATAGTCCTGGACAAGGAAAATAACATTAAGTAACTAGCTTGTAACTATTTAGCTTTGGTGCGGTTTTTTGCAGGTAGAGAAATCTCAAAATTGCCTAATTTTTAGTACTTTAAGGGTACTATATTGGGTCTCAAATGATCCTGCGTCTCTTTCTAGTAAAGGTAGTAGAAAAGAAACGCAAGAACATTTAAGAGCTGAAGAATTAAATCCGTAATTATGGAAATACGGAGCGTGTTTTGTACATTGCAGCACTAAACCGCGTGATTGTCACAAACATATGAACGTTATGAGTAATGTATAACAAACTAATAAATAACTTACCAGTGTCAATAGTTGAGTTCTCTATAACATCCATTTCTTTAGACTGCATCCTTTCGGGAAAGAGGTTGAAGACAAAACAGGCGAACAAGGCCACCATGGTGAGGATCAGCTGATTCTGCCACCAGTCTTCTCCTTGGGTGTCTTTCTCCAGTATACCAGCTCCGTCCAATCCCAGGGTGAGACGGGCAGTGATCAAACCACCTGTAAGGACAGCAAGATTCAGTAAATGACAGAAAACATTTATATGGACAAATAAAACTTATTGAAACCTTGATTTTCTAATAGAAAAAGCACGTGTGACTTGTAAATAGATTAAAAATAAATATAGGTAAGCTTTAAGCGGTGAAACTTACGTAATAAGTCAATATTAACATTTTATATTATCTGATATCATTTACGGAGATACTTTTATTCTCGAAGGAATTTGTATAGAGTCTTCGATTGTAAGGGAATTATTGCCCTTTCTGTTAAATCTATTAGTAGAACTAAATTACTATCGAGATGGTTAAAAATGTCTACCTATTGATATTTTTTATATTATACCCAGAAACAATACTTTTTTTGAAGAAATTCTAGTTTTATATCACTTTGTATAAGATTATTAGCGAAACTACAATTATGGACACCCGAAATAACGGAGGACTCACAGATTGTCGAACTTTTGGGGATTAGGGATACAGAGATTTTGGGTCTCCGGTAACCTTACTCAGACGGCTAAACACAACGCTGTGGTTGTTTCACGCGTTTTCTGTGAGGCCGTGGTATCATTCGGATCGAGCCGACCCATTTGTGCCGAAACATGGCGCTTCCACACTTGTACTTATATTCATTATAATTACCGTAGAACTCGGGACCATGAGCAGGGTTGTGGTCATCCAAGTATGTCAGTCCATGTGTCCAAATGCTGATCTTTGTGAGCCCACACAGTATGATGGTGATGATCAGGAACGTGGTTCGAGCTGCGAGATTTTTATCACCAGTATAGTTGACCTCCGCTTCTTGTCGACATAGACCTGAGGGAATATTTTGTTTTTTGTTAAGACCATTTTATGTGCTTGTATATCACTAAGTTGTTAGGGCGTGTCTTCGAAATCTGGCAAATTTTTAAGGTTATGTGGTCTTTCTTAGTAGATTTAGACACTACTGACAAACGGTGAAGAAAAACATGGAGTTTTAATTTCTCAATATAAGTTTGAAATCACCGATCCAACGCTCAAACTTTCTCCTTATGTGAGAAGAGGCCTTTGCTCAGCAGTGGGCACTTAAAGGCAGATGATGATGATGATAATTACCTATTCTGTTTACTTTTAGCCAGTCTTCGTATAAACAAAAACATGATGAATTAGATCGCGAGTCAATGCTGAGAAACAGGCTCAGTATTGTCTGAGAATAAAGAACATCCAAAGAACAAAACTGGGGCATTGAAGCCGAGATTCCCTTAATGGCAGTTGCATTTGCAATCATTTCACTAACCAGGCATTGGAATATGTCTATTAGATATCTTTTTTGCTTTATCCTAGTGGCCATACTAATTCTTATCTTCAAAAACTCACCCATGCTAACAGGATTGGTCTCAGCGAAAGGGAAGGCGAGAACCAGAAGCCCTGCAGCTGCGGTTAGCCCCAGCCAACCGGAGATGGCTCGGTTTCTCTTCCCTTTGCCCCACCACGCCACCAGCGCTCCTAAGAGGAACTCCACGCCAGCAGTTCCCATCCTCACGTAGTCTGTATTCATAGATAAATGTGTTTGTAGGACAAAATCTTACATCTTTTCGTAAGGGGACAATAAAATTAATCATCGTATGATATTCTCCCACCCAGGGTGGAGCGAGAGGAAGTGTCAGACTCTTACTGACTAGAAACGCCCCCGTACCTTGTCCTGCTCTAGGCCGAGGCCGCGGTATCTTATTGCGCTTACCCCCGGTCCCGTATATAGTATATAGTGTATATGGTATATAACGTATATACTATATACGGGGCCATGCATTCTTTGAGGCGCGCACGAAAATTGCGTACATGTTTCATTATTTTGGTAATTTTCTTAATTATTACTGATCACAAAAATGTTGTTGAGGATATCTTGGGTGGTGGTAAGATTCTTTTGTATGTGATAAGACTTTTAGTGTATGTATTTACCTATGGTGAGTGTAGAATGGTACCCTGCTCTAGCATCTCTACGCATTAGTAGATACACATTGGTCTCCAAGAACAACGTGAGCAGGTAAGTTCCTTGGAGAAAGAGATCGAAGGCCTTCAGCTTTAGCACATACTTGCGCAGTACTGACAAAACCTTTTGGAAACCTGGTGACAAAAAAAAAACACTATTAGTTTTTTTTAATGGGCAAATGTGTTGACGGTTCCCCTTGGTAGTTTCCAAATAGTCAAATTTAATACTCTTATCCAAAAGTCAAAAACGATACTTTTCTATGAAATTCATATGACAAACTGAGTTATGACGTCATAACATTTTTGCGTCAAATAACTTATTTAAATGTTAGGAAAAATATTTAGTTTTAATTTCGCGTTTCCTAACATTTAATGTCATGGATTTCCGCAAAGTAACGCCTGATTCTATAAATTAACTTACTTATTTCTTACTAATGAGCTAAAATAATCTAAAACTTAGTGCATCGAAGAAGTTTAGTTATTTTTTAATATTCATACATCGAATTCAATTAATTCGACGTTTCAATATTTTGACTTAGGAAAGTACCTAATTAGTACGGTCCATGGACACAACACCAGTTGGGTGACAAGAAACGCACGGCATTTTAAAAAGTAGATGTTTTATTTTTAAAAGTAATGTGGGCTCTTTTTTGAGGGAAAAGCATTAATTGACTTATTTCGCCCAGGGTGAGGCGAGGGGAAGTACTCGGCCTTGTTGGGCCCCGTCTGAGGCTCTTTCACGCGCGAAGATTAAGTTTGAATTTGTTATGTAATGATAATACCAATGAAAATGATAATTTTAAAAGTACAAATAATAATAAATAGTAAGAAGAAAGAAATATACATGATAGAGAAGAAGTCTGTGATATGATGAATGATGATGATGATGATGTTTTGAGAGTAGAAAAAAAAATGAGAAAAGCACAAAGAAGACTGAGGAGAAGAGAGACACTATTACGTAATTTAATTGAGGTAAGTTATTAAAAACAAACGATGACTAGTGTATTGTTTTTTTCGAAATACGGAAAACCTAATTAGATAAAAGTAATGTTTAAGCAAAGTTAAGGTGTTTTCGTTGCGTCACTTATATATGTATTATTTCGTTACATATGTACATATTTGGTAGGTGCGCAAGAGTTATATCACGCGATATTTGTAATCAATATACATAAGCAAGTATATAAGTTTTTGATTTTGGTAAAACACAAAAAAATGGTACCTACGCGACCGATGTTTTCCACAAACGATAGGTACACGTGACATAAAATAAATTGTCATTATATTTAATCTAATTTAAGTTTTTCGTCACAATATTTAAATAAATCTTGCTAATAACTTTAATAAATAAGTCAAATGATCTGTGTGAGTATAACAATTTGATATTATTTAAATATACAGATCCATATGACGTCATAGTACCTATTTTCAGTCTCACATGCGCCTGCGCACGTGCATACACAGACACACACGCACACATACGTAATACCGCTTTATTGTGTGAGTATCCAAGAGTCTAACGCAAAGTAACTAAATATTGGGATAAAATTTTATCAGTTACAGTTAGTAAGTCTCTGTAAATCTTTAATCCTTAACAAAAGAAACAGAATTATCAAAAAAAAATTTACTATGGTTTTCGAGAAGTTAATTTCAAAATGGAGTCGGGCTGCATCTTTTAGATGTAGGTATAGGTTATGTGTTATTTAGAGAGACTCCATTTGAGTGACCTCCTCACTCAGAGGTATTATCCAATATCTTTTTTTTATGTGATAGGTCGACTAGCGAGCTGGCGGATTACCTGATTTTAAGCAATCAGCGCCGCCCATGGAAACCAGCAACAACAAAGGAACTCCTCTGTTGTTTCGGGTGCATTACCGAACTTTTGGGGATTAGGGATTGGGGGAGGAGAAGAATTGTGCCTGCGGTAACCTCACTCACACGGTGAAACACAACGCTGTGGTTGTTTCACGCTGGTTTTCTGTGAGGCCATGGTATTACTTCGGTCGAGCCGACCGATTCGTGCCGAAGCATGGCACTGTGAGTATCACAATGTTACCGAATAAAAAACAACCCAGTTTTAACTCTTGCCTGCATTTTATGTCTATGCGTTAGTTGCACCCGTAACAATGGTTGTGGTTTAAAAGAAGTGGAGTATTAATGCCCTTACGATGGCTGGTGACTAGTAGTGATTAAAGTTGTAGGGCTGAACATCAAATTACTTTGAGTTGGGAGGTCCAGTAGTGGGTTTAAATGGATGATGATGAAGATTGTAGTGGCCCACAGGTTAAGGCGCCCGCTTCTCATGCAGGTTTCAATTTAGCAAGGACTAATGTGACTTTAACCAAGTTGTATGTACTTTCTATGTTTATTTAGACACCGTCGACAAATGTTGAAGGAAAATATCGCGAGGAAAGCTGACTTATTTGCTAATTATAATTTTTAAATCGCCAATGCCTTGAGCAAGCGTTGTGATTACGCACATACCTTTTACATATGAGAAGGGGATTAGTTTAGCAAGTGGGCATTTATAGACCGATGATTTTGATGACGAATTTGTATAAGAATAATGATAAAATAAAAGAATACTTACATGCAGGCGCCATCTTCCTTTTTTGTCTTCTTAACACTTAACAAATCTATGTTATAATTAATTAAGATCCAATTTTTACACAGATCGTTGGGATAAAATATCAATATTTTTAGAGGCTATTTCACTTCCAGCGTATACTCAAGTACCCAATAAAGTTATAGGCCAGATAATTCGTAAAAAATACGTTAAGTATATGTAAAAAAAATATCTGGTTGGTGGAGCTATCCAGATAAATTTATAAGCTACCAATCACTATTACATATTTTTATATAAAAAAAAAACACTAATAAACTTTTTTAATTCACGTTGATATGCGAACTTTTTTTAAATACTTTTATCTAAGTATTTATTTCTTTTTTTTTTTAATTCCTTATTTGAATTTTTTGATTTGCACTCGTGATCTGTTTCAAAGAAGCGAATGCTAGAACTTATGTCGTCAACTAGTTTCAGTTGACTGTAAGTATATTTCTAAATGCGTCTGTTTATATTGCCATTGATTAAAGTTTATCAGATAAATGATAAAAGCCCGCGGTTAGTCATACTTTGCTGTATGAATAAGTTTTCATTAATCTTTCAAAAATATATACCTACCTACGATAAGTTATCAGAAAATGTTCCAATCTTACCGGAAAACATCACATTGTTTTACAATCGATTTTTGACTAGGCTTTGTCTTGTGGATTTTTTTATGGAAAGTTCTTATTTTGAATATTATTTGTATAATAAGTAAAAAACTACTTATGACGAAAATAAATATCACCATATTAATTCTTTCTTTAAACAAATCGTCTATTTCGTGTTTATTTTTTTGTTATCCAATTTTACCTATATTATATTATTTTTTATATTGTTACATAATATTGTTTTATTCCCCGAAGAGTATTTATGTTATGATCTAGGCGTCTTTTTTTAAATACCGGGTAAGTTCGGGTTACTTTGACCCTGCAGGGTAACTTTGATCCAAACCCCTTAACCAATAATAACTGAGAACCAAACATATATTCGTTTTTCATTGGTTCGAAAATTTGGATCAAAGTTACCTCCCAGGGTCAAAGTAACCCGAACTTACGGTAAGATAATTAAAGGCTCTTTTGAATGTTAAATAAGTATATAATAAGTAAATTAGGACCAAGACCAGCTAGCCTCGAAGCATTTTTATCTATACCAATCTATACTTAGTATTATAAAGAGGTAAAATTTGTAAGTTTGTATGTAGGGGGTAATCTTTGAAACCGCTGGTTGGATTACCAAAATTCTTTTACTGATAGTAGCTACAGTGTTCCCTATAGGCTTTAGAACATCACGCTACGATCAAATGGAGCCGAGCAGCGGGTGAAACAGCGTGAGTGTAGCTAGTCCTCTATACAATAATTAAGTTTGTTATATACTTGTCAACATAAAGTTTTCCTTATACATCATTTAAATTTGCTTTCATTAAGTTGTTGTATTTAACCTGGAAATTGGTTTTAACATTTAATACATAATCCTATGACCTAGACTTGTGTATTTTTGACAATCTAAATAAAGGCTGTTTTAATCTAATATGTATCTCTATGACTAGTTTAATAGTTATGTTTCTCAATGATAAACAAATAAAAGTAGGTCTTTCCTAACATATAAAATGTTTGCATGAATAAATTGATATATGGTACGGTCATAATATTGATCTCTTTCAACTCGATGACCTAAGCCGTTATAGATAGTTCTGACGGTATGCTTTACTAAGATAAAGGTTCTTCAAGGCCCAAGTTATAGGAGCTCCATGGAATTCAGAAACATTAAAGTGTTGTAAAATTTGGTGTATCTTCGTAACTATATAAATCATACATTTTGGAAGAATATACTTTTGCAGTAAAGTATACCAAACATCATCTAATCTTTAAGCAAACATAACCTTAGTTTTTATTGCAAAAATAAAATAATAATATTCAAAAAGACCGACAGACATATAGTATATTATATATATACCTTAATGTACTCACTTAAGTGCGGAATTGTAAATAAAACAGTTACTGATACGGGTTCAATTGAGAATTATTTATCGGAACTGAAAATATTAGATAATATCGCCGTTTCTCCAAATAAACATTACAGTCACCATCCAAAATTCTCATCGTTCTAATGAATGAGACGATAAAGTTATGAATCGCGAACATAACGTGTTTACGCAGAATATTTTATAACCATTCTGATTCTTATTGTATAAGGATAAAATAACTATTTCGCTTAGCATAGTCGTAGTGTTGAGAATTCAGAAATTTAAAGATTCCAGCAACCAGGTGACAACATAGCACCACAGAGGGGGCCCAACAGGGGCGATATTCGAGAGACGATCTCCGGACGGTGATAAGGGTAGCTCGCCGCCCGACCAGAACCAGACCCGAGCGTACGGCGCGTAGCGTTCCGCGCGCGCCTCAAAGAGCCAATAGACCACTACAGACGGGGCCCTATAGGGCTGATGTTCAACTGGGGTTGCGGGTAAGCGCAATGAGGCACCGCGACCTCGGCCCAGAGCAGGAGAAGAACGGGGGGAGGGGGTTAGTCAGTAAGAGTCTGACACTCCCTCCCGCCCGACCCTGGGAAGTCATTTGATAAATTTTTCCTCAAAAAACAAACAGGGACGATATTCAACCAGGGCTGCGGATCAAGGCTTGACCTGTAGCAGGAGTTTTTTTTTAATAATTTATGAAACACATTACATTAGACTTATGAAATAAAAATAGTCCCACAAAACTGTATTCACAGTTTGACTGTGGAATCACACATAATGCAACTGGGTAGTTTTAAGCCAGTGAGTGAGAGAAGTCATTTGATGATATTCTCGCTTCAACAAAATGCCAGGAGATCCAATATTGCGCATCAATGTAGGAGAGCCATGATCGGGTCGGTTTCACCAGACTAATACGATGAGAGTACCAGAATGTGAACGTGTGAGGTTACGGGAGACCTGATCGTGATGTAAGAGTTTTTTTTTGATGTGGGATGTCTGATTATGGCACTAGATTTAAGAAGTCATTTGATATTGAGTTCTCTCCCTGGGCGGGCGCGTGGAAGTGTTAGACTCTTAAAGTCTGAAAACTATCCCGCTCCTTTTTCTGCTCCGGGTCGGTACACTTTTGCGCACTCCCAACACCAGCTGACTGTCCAAAAGGTTGGCAAGTCATTCGACATAGTTTAGGTACCTAAGCATAGGGAATATTTAATTGTTGGTAAAAAAGTTGCGAGTTGGTGGCATCTATGGTGGCCCAAAGGTTCAAATGCGCCAACTTTTTTATTCATTTTTTTTTGTGAGGGGAAAATCATCAAATGATTTCTGAGGCAGTGTCAGACTCTTATTGACTAAAAAACCCCCTGTTTCTTCTCCTGCTCAAGCCGAGGTCGCGGTGCCTCATTGCGCTTAGGTACCTCGCAATCCCAGCTGAACTTTTTTATTCTTGAGATTGCGGGTTCTAAGCGTGGCAAGTACCTACTGATGTGCGTTTTTCTCAGTCATATGTAGGTAAGTACGTACTTTCCAATTTGTGATATACTTATAGTGAAATAAAAAATCATGAGTCGTTTTGAAGGAATTCAGAAACGAACATGAGCGATTTATTACTGATGAGAATCTTATCTATGAGGAAGAAAATATTCCCTATGCAAATATCTTACTAACTCGGAGAAAAATGATCATGCAAATAATTATTTGTTTTATTAATAATAGCGTAATTAGTGTAATTACCATTGTTTACCTAATTATTATATGTAGATGTTATAAACGAGTCATCTTTGGAATGCTAGCGCTCTCTATAGACGCTCGATGGAGTCAATAATTAATGGGATGAGTGGCGTGTTCGAGAGTCCTCGACCAGCAGCCGTCCTGTGCGGTCGTATATTGAACTGAGGTGCGTTCTTACAAAGTCAAATCATTTATTTCAAATAGACTCTGGGTACTTTGGAACGTCAAACGAAGGAAAAACAATCAATATAACTTTGTGTGTGTCAGTCTGTATTCTAGTGAAGCTATTGGCTCATTCTAAAGTGTATTTTTTTATTTGATAAGACAACAAACAGGCGTAGGGTTACCTGATGTAAGTCAGCGCCGCCTATGGACACCCGCAATAGCAGAGGAGTTACGAGAGCACTGCCGCCTTTTTGGGAATAAGGGATTTGAAGGTTTAGGGGTTGGGAAGGGCTTGTCGTAGGGGCAGTATTGGGCAAATAGTAACCTCATTCCACGGCGAAACACAGAGCTGTGGTAATTTCACTCCGGTTTTCTGTGAGACAAACCCATTCGTGCAGAAGCATTGCTCTCCACACTTAAAAATAAATAATCACTTATTGGGGTATATACTTATATAAATTAGTTTTTACTTCTCCTCAAATAATATCTTCTAATTTATTTCGTTGCGGGATCCAAGTACACACAGTAATTCATATCCCTGGAACGCGCCGGACTTTAGTGTCCCGGTGTTTTCATGGTTGTATCTACTCTAGATCCTGACTCACAGGAGTTGTAGCGGTTTTGGGAGGTTGGGCTTGTTCCAATATTAAAACTTCGTAACTTAAAACTGTATTATTCGAAATCAGAAGGAAGATTCTCCAGATCACCGACATAGGAATAGGTAACGCCTATATTTCCACGAAGCGTCGTGCACATGCACGCCTATCTCTGATATTGTCGTTTAACAAAACAAGCCGTTATCTCTATTTTATGTAACAGTTTTCAGTTCTGAAGTGTTATTATTCAGGTCCACACCTCTTGTATTATCTCGTGTAATCAGCAGCGATAATATGCAAAGAAGCCTATCAAAGAAATCTAGGTATAATCGTTCAATGTAAATCTTGTATTGTGAATGGTTTTTGTAATTACTGGTTTCGATATAGGGGTAGAGTAAAAGTAGCTTCTTTATTTGGGGGCACGGTAGTGTTACTGCCAAGTCGAGCGCGAAGCAAACACTGCCGTACCATCTTTTACTAGAACCATTTCGTCGCATCTTCAGGCCCCTATTTGTGAACCTCTGGAGAAGACCAGAACGCAAAAATTTTCGTCATCTAGTAAGCTATAATCACATTCTCAAAATCCAATATTCTGAGTTTCATAAATTTTAATCCTTTTAGATAATGCTAGAAATGGAATTTTAACAGTCCGCCTATTTTTTAATCCTGCCTGGAAGCAGTCATCAGAAAAAATCGTCATCATTGTCTTTTATGTCAGCTGTGTCTATGTCATCTGTCCTCAGTGATAAAAAAAAACAAAACCAACAGATAAAACGTGAGCATTTATTTAAATTAAAAAAAGTCGCTTGCTTGCGTATTCAGAGTATACAAAAATAATATTTTAGTGACAAGAACTATGCTTACAAATAATAGAATTAAATAATTATTACAATATAACAGTAGTCAATACTTATACGTAACTTAAAACTAAATTATCAACATTTTTGTGAGAGCTTGTTTGAGATTTTCTTGGCGTGACGAACTTTTACGACTTGAGGTGAGGCCGACTCGACATGAGACAAAACTTAAAAGGTTACAATGAAAATGTTTTACAGATAAATTTACTGAACCAACATGTATCTACACACGAACACACGTGTATGCATGTATCACTTTGATTTAGATATTAACGTAATAATTTTTTATTAAAAAAAATCTTAACAAACAAATAACTATCACAGTTCTAAAAGTCAATAAAACAATACAAGCAAACAATAGAATAATAAAGATATAATAAACACTCACTCACACATATTTTATTACTTACACAAAATTAACTATTTTTGTGACATAAAAATTAGGTTCGAGGCGACCTCGTGACAAGTCGCAACATCGTCTAAAAATTAAAGCCTTAAAATGTGACGAACTCTAAAATTGAAATCACGTCGCGGTTCGTCCTAGAACTTTCTGTTCGATCCAGGGAATGAAGTGCGTTACTCTGGAGTAGACACCAGGGAAATTGGCTTCGGCACATTTCTTGCCGTAGGAGACAACTCCGATCTGGTAGAAGTATGTCTTGTGTGAGGTTGGACTCCACTGTAAAAGAAGAAAAGAGTTATATTTAATTATTTATTTATTTAGGTTAAGCAGCAACTGTTTACACCAGTACTTTAGCAGCTTAGTAGTAGGTAATACTTAGATACAATTACAGGTGTAACAATTAATTACAGGTTACCACCGCTAGCACAGAAAACAATGGAAAAAATTCTTACAATAAAAGTGAATATAAATTGAATATGGCATGAAATTAATAAATTACAAAATTAGATAGAAATTAAATAATATTTGATACGGGAATAAAGATAACAAGATTATAAATCTGAAAAAAATGATTAAAATAAATACTAAATTACAATAAAAATTAAACAGTAAAAAAAATATAATTATATTATAAGTATTTGGCAAAGCACTGGCGGTAAATCTAAACGGAGTTGCGGGTCAACCGCAATATAATATACAGCGTCCCTCGGCCTGGGGCAGGAGAAGGAACGGGCGGGAGGGGAGAGTTATTCAGAAAGAGTCTGAATTTCCAACATCAAAAAATTAAAAAAAGATTTGTACTGAGGATTATTGAGAAATAGAAACATTCATTGTTTCATTGAAAATTCTTTGTTTAAAACCTCGTTTCCAATTGTCTATGTCTAACTATTATATCTTCAGGATTTTCAAATCCCCCTTATCTATACCTATAAGGTAAGAGATAAGATTTCCTTTACATTAGGTAGCTAACTACATACCTATGTAGGTAAATGTCCTTACTGAAAAACAAACTTCGGTATTTACAAATGGAGTTGAAGTAAGTAGCTCCACTTTACTGATTTACTTTTGACCTTATTACAGAATAGTAAAGTTTAAAATTTATTAAGAGATTTGTTTCATTTAGTATAGTATGACGTGCTGGCTGCCTGTGACTTAAACATTGAGTCATGTAGGTTATTTAACTATATCTGGCTGGAGATAAATGTTTTCATCAAGGAATTAGTGGGTTGTTTTATGCACTTCGAAAATTCAAGTAATCAAGCTAGCAACATGAATTCTGCATTTTTATTTTACTACAAAATCTAACAATTTGGGCCCTGTATTGATTTAAGGTGTCGCACTCCGTACATTTTAAATTGAGCGGCGATTTACCGATCTTCAAGCCGGACCACTGGGCATGCTTGTCTTCGCTTGCAACAACACCGTGTTTATGTCTGGGAGAGCCAAGCTTCGGCACGAATGGGTCGGCTCGACCGGAGTGATACCACGGCCTCACAGAAAACCGGCATGAAACAACCACATCGTTGTGTTTCGCCGTGTGAGTGAAGTTACTGGAGACCCAATCTTTCCTCATCTCAGATCCTTCCCCAATTCCTTAATATCCAAAACCCTAATCCCCCTAAAAGGTCGGCAACGCACTCGTAACTCCTCCGCTGCGGCTGTCCATGGGCGGCGCTGATTGCTTACCATCAGCTAATCCGTCTGCTCGTTTGCCGACCTATTATACTATTACATATATAGACTATATATATATATATATATAAAACACCGGACGAACATCATTCTAGAACTTTTACTACATGAAGTAACATTTTGAAGTACTTACAATAGGTTGCATAAGTGGTCCACCGCTGTCTCCCTGACAAGCATCCTTGCCTCCCTGCTTATACCCTGCGCAGAGCACACGTTCGTCAATTTTCTGCGCCTTGTAGGCACTGTAGGCCTGCATGCAGAAGTCGTTACCAACGACTGGTAATTGCAGTACTTGGAGATGCGTGGCTGCAGCACCACCTGAAGAAGAAAAAACAACTAAATAATTTGCTAAAAAAACCTTTCAATCGTGGTACTTTGAGACACAATAGTAACACAATATGCGCACGAACGCCGGCGTTCGCTTGGGGTTTGGCGAGTTAAGGGTATTTACCCTTATCATGTTAAAAAGAATGGTATCTCCATTTCACGTATTCTAGCGTAATTACTATTGAGCTTAATCAGTCAGTTTGTTACTGTCCACTTTTTGACAAAGTCGCCTATATAATCAGCTCATAGCTTAGATTGAATAAATAGTGATTTGATTACAATAAGGTATTGTTTTTTAATTTTGTTATTAAAGTTTGATTATGTTGGTTTATTCCAAAGTCGACCTTCTTTTCATATTTGGTAAGTGTTAATTACAACTTATGACACAATTTTATTAAAGATAGATTAAGGAAAAAAATAAACACTGAGGTAATACTAGATAAAAAGTACTTAGGACAAACCAAAATAAGGATATGATACCAGTAATTATATTGTTTATCTCAGATAAATATAATTATATCTCATTTATGTATTAAATTAGTTTTTATTACGCCAAGATCAGGCTTATCAGCGTATATAAGGCAACGAAAATAAATATATACAGTGATTCAGACGAGCTGACGATGCAAATTTTACTATCTTTCAAGAGTTTATGATTCATAATGTTGACAAAATGACATCGGACTTAAATCGCCTTATTTTTTATTTAAAAGGCGTATTTTATGACTAACGCACTTTTAAAATACAATTTGTTTTCTTAATTTAAATTCTAAAATATAATTGCATAGGTCGATGTCAAAATTGAAATTCGAATTGGGGAGTTGTGTTCGAATTTTTCGCAGCCATTTTGAAAATTCTGGCCAATGAAAACGAGCTTGGACTTTATGCTAACATTTTGTCGACCAATCACAAGATGTTATTGGCTACCGTGCTAATGCTCGCGTGTCGCTGCGCCACGCGATCGTGTATCCAGGTTAGTAACAAAATACTTGAAATTGATTAAAAAAAAACAGAAAAAGTAACATTAATATGTGACGCACTAGTCGAATTTCTTCAACAAATGACTAGGAAAACGGGGGAAAGAGAATGTTTACTTTTTTTTGCTAAAAGCGCTTTCTTTGTTCACCAAAATTATGAAAAATTGTTATGTACTATTTGTGCAATGTGTAAATACAAATGTGCACCAGGATTTTCAGCTTTATTACTAACAATATAAAGTCGAAAATGAATTAAAAAGAAATGGATCTGGCTCTCGTGCTGGCTTGCACCTTCACCTACAAAAATGTACTCTATTCGTTTCATTTTAAAGTTGGTTATCCTTAAAACATTATACTTACGGAATTCAGTGTGACCCCATCCGGCAATCAGAGGGTTGTAATCTTCGAAGGTTGTTGCTCTTAGTTTCTCGTCTTTCGGCATACAGATGGGCTTGATCAACTCTGCAGAAGAGAAATAAAAATAAATATTACGTTTTTGAGCGAATTTTTTTGAGGTGGAATATTCATCAAAGTCATCGCTTTTCCAGGAGACGAGAAGTAGTGTCTAATGTTACAGTACGGTCGCTGTATCTTGGCGAGTCTGAATTTAGCCGTTTGTCGGCGCAATGGATGTTTTAGGAACAAAATTGTGTACTGCGCAGCTAATCGGCTAACTTCAGACTCGCCAAGATACGTCGGCGGTATTGTACTGTTGCTTCTCCTACTTCAGGCCGAAGCCATGATGCATTATTGCGTTTGGCCTGTAACCCTGGCTGAACATCGACCCTGTAGGGCCCCGTCTGTGGTGGTCTATTAGCTCTTTGAGGCACGCGCGGAAGTCTACGCGCCGTACGCTCGGGTCTGGGTCTGGTCCGCAGAGCCTAGCTAACGATATTATATTCACCATCATCAGCCTATAAGCGCCCACTGCTGAACAAAAGCCTCTTCTCACACAGAGAAGGTTAGAGTATTAATCACCACGCTTGCTCAATGCGGGTTGGCGATTACAAACTTGTAATTAGGAATTATAAGTCCAGGTTTCTTCACGATGTTTACCTTCACCGTATGTCAGTGGTGTTTAAATAATCATAGAAAGTACCTAAATATAACTCGGAAAAAGTCCAGACCCTCATGCATGAGAAGCGGGCTCCTTAACCTCCGGGCCACACGGTAATATACATATTATTTCATCTTTAATTGATAATAACATTTAAAATGAGGTAATGGAGAAGGCAGTTGCCTGAAACTGATGTTAGTGCCAAATCTAAAAATAATATAATAATCAAAAAATCCCACTAATAGGAAAAATAAATATTTTTGTCTTTTCAATACATTATCTAAGTATTGAAATCTAATCGTATCTACTTGAATTAATTGATTTGACAGTAAGTATACTTAATTTAAAATGTCTCTAGAAATATTTTCAGAAATATATATGCTATTCGACCTATGTTGTCGATTTTTTTCATAATTCACAGAATCGTTAATAAAATTCAAAAAGAAAAGTATTCAATTTGACTTGTTGGAAACTATCGAATTGTATTAGGTACTATCGCTAGGGGAAATAAAGATAGATCGAACTAAGTACTCAGCTAGTACCTACACGAACTCACACCCATAAACAAGTCACATTTTATCATCACACCTTTTTTCAGTACATCTGATAGTCATAGATTATCTCAGATACCTATCGTTATAACGTCGTGAGTAATCTCTTAACGGTATATAATAATATTTTATGTAGTTTCGTTAGTGTTTTCTGATTCATTCCATTGATCCCTAAGATTTTTGTTAGACTTTTATTTTTATTACAAACTAGCGACCCGCTTCGGCTTCGACCAGGTATATTTCAGATAGCAAATTAATCCACTATTAAAAGGATGCAATTATACATATATATAAATCTTATAAATAAAATATATAAATACATATATAAATCTTCCTTTTCAATCACTTCAATTTCCCTCTCCCTATCTCTAAATCTCTGAAACCCTAATCTCCAAAAAAGCCGGCAAAGCAGTTGATACTCGTCTGGTGTTCAAGGGTAGCGCTGAGTGCTTACCATCAGGTAATCAGACTGCACCAGTGCCGTCCTCATCATCATCATCATCAGCCCATAAGTGCCCACTGCTGAGCAAAGGCCTCTTCTCACACGGAGAAGGTTTGAGCATTAATCACCACGCTTACTCAATGCGGGTTGGCGATTTCAAACTTATAATTAGAAATTATAAGTCCAGGTTTCCTCACGATTTTTACCTTCACCGTATGTCAGTGGTGTCTAAATAATCATAGAAAGTACATATAGCTAAGAAAAAGTCACATTGGTACTTGCCAGGTTCGAACCCACACCCTCATGCATGAGAAGCGGGCTCCTTAACCTCCAGGCCACCACGACATAACACAGACAGGACCAGTGCCGTCCTATTGCATACAATCTATGTTGTTAAGCGCAAATCTAAAAAACCGCTGAACAGATTTTGCAGAATTTTTTGTTTTTGCGCTTTTTCTTAGCAAGAGAAGATTCTTTTGAAAGAAAGTTCTAACACTTCATAACATCCTACTAATATTTTAATTCTAAAAGTTTTTGAGAATGTATGGATGTAGGTTTGTTATTTTATTAACGCAAAAACGGCTGGACGGTAGGTGATATCCTGGAGTAAGCGGGCAAAGCCGCGGTCCGAAGCTGTTTATGTATAACGTACCAGTGAAAGTAACATCATGGTCCAGGATCAGAATACCGATGTCATTGGTGAAGGAGGTGGCACTGTACTGTTCATGCTTGACCTTCTGCTTGATCAGCACATCCACTGGAGTCGCACCCTCGTCCTCTTTCGCCAAGTCCAGCTCACCAAGTCGAACTACATACCTGGAAGAAGGGTTTCGATCATTATTATTTTATTCTTTCCTTTCACGGGACCACAGGGTCCCGGACCTTTGGAAGGCATACGAGGAGCCGAAGCCAACTCGCAGAGGCCCGTTGAACAATTTTAATCTAAATGTGATGGGACATCAGCCGGCAATTATCCCTGTATGCACTATAAAAGTGCACCCAAGGACAATCCCCGGTTGATGCAGGACTATTGTAAAATGTGGTAACAATTAATAGGGTTATGGGTATGGATTGCTATGCACTAGTGGATGAAAACTATGGAAATACTATGGCCCCTGCCCCTGACCAATATTGATACATACGGATAAACAGGCAGGAGGTGACTGGCAAACTCAATTAATGGGCCCCTGGAAACGGCCGCTAGCATGTAGCGACACGGGGGTAACATACGTTGAGCTGCTTGAGGAAGGAGAGGCATCCCACGGCTATCAGAGCAATCCCGGAAGTACGGTCAAGACCCCTACCAGCACCTTACTGAGATACATCCTTCCCCCGAGTCTCCTTCAACTCCTACTCTAGCGAATCTCCACTCAAGCCAGCCAATTAAGGCAAGAATGAGGTAGAAGGGTTTGTTCTTCATCAGTGGTCACTCCAGCTCGTCACGAGGACTAACTGGAGAGAGAAGAACAAGACACCTCCCGGGAGTCAGGTCCGTGGGGTCGCCACTACCCAACAGCTCGCCACAAGCTGCCTTGCTGTTTTATTATTTATTTTATTATTTATTATGATGTCTTTACCAATCTTGGGTCCAGATATAATTTGGGAGGCGTACGAGGGGCCGGAGCCAACTGCCCAGACGCCCTTTAGACAGCTTAAATTAACTCATAACTCATGAATAACAGCCCCGCTGTGACTTGAAACCAGTAGATCTTTTCTCAGTTACCTATTTATGTCACGTTTGTTGTTAGATTGGCATAACTGTTTTCCATTTTGGCGCGGAATTTTAGTTGCATCTGTTATTTATATTAAAAACAGTGCTGTTTTTAGTTTTATAATACGCAGTGTGTATTGCGAATTTCATAATGGACAAAAACATCGAACAAAGAGTTTGTCTTAAATTTTGCATCGCCAATGAAATTTCGTGTTCGGAGGCACTCAAAATGTTACAGAAGGCTTACGGTGAATCGACTTTATCAAAAACACGTGCTTATGAGTGGTACAAAGCGTTCAAAAGCGGTCGAGATGTGATGGAAGATTTGCCTCGTTCTGGTAGGCCATCAACGTCTGCAACTGAAGTTAACATCGCAAAAGTGAAGGAAATTGTGACTGAAAATCCTCATTCAAGTTTGAGAGATGGCCGCCGAACTTTCTGTATCTCACGAGTCGATCCGTACCATTTTAACAAATAATTTGGGTATGAAACGTGTTGCCGCTCGGCTAGTCCCAAAAGACCTGAATTTTCTTCAAAAACTAAATCGCATGAAAGTCGCTGAGGACATGCTAGAACTAGTCAATACCGACCCAACATTCATGAAACGCATTGTTACTGGTGACGAGACGTGGGTTTACGAGTTTGACATGCAAACTAGTCAACAAGCTTCGGAATGGCGCCTTCCAACTGAACCAAAACCGAATAAACCACGTCAAAGTCGATCAAAAGTCAAAGTCATGTTGACTGTTTTCTTTGACTATCGCGGTGTTGTGCACTCAGAATTCTTGCCCGAAGGTCAAACGGTAAATAAAGAATATTATTTGAGCGTTATGCGGCGTTTAAGAGAACAAATTCGACGAAAAAGGCCAGAAATGTGGAAAGAAAATTCTTGGATTTTGCATCACGATAATGCGCCTTCGCACAATTTTTTGTCCAAACACTCAACAAACACCATCGAGCAGCCACCATATTCACCAGATATGGCTGCAGCCGACTTCTTTCTTTTTCCTACACTCAAATTACCCCTTCGTGGCACCCCTTTTCAATCGTTAGAAGACATAAAGGAGAATTCGCGGCGAGCACTGAACTCAATTCCGGAAACAGCGTTTAAAAAAAGTTTCGATGATTGGATTATTCGTTGGCGTAAGTGTATCGTTTCTGGAGGAGCATACTTTGAAGGTGATAAAATAAATTTAGATGAATAACAAACATTTTGTGTATTATTGACTTTTTCCCGGTACTTTCTTGACAGAGTAGTATATAAAAATGGATCACAGAATGTGTTGGTAAGCGCATAACTCAATAATGCCTGGACCAAATCTACTGTTTTTTATTGTTATGTGTGTTATTGTCAGGAGGAGGTTCTTATGAAAGAAAATTTTAGAAAAGTAGAGGGGAGAGTTTGGTAATAGGGACCCTTTCATCGTAAGCGAGATGATAAGACCCGTGCAAAGCAGGGGCGAGCTGCTAGTTTTCAATAAAAACGTAGAAATTTTGCATAAAATGCGATCGGCTGGTAAACTGTATTAAAGTTACATCATCATTTTTGCTATTTTTGAAATACACGTGTAATTTGTATAATCAATCAGACGGTATCGCTTCTATTGTGTCTGCATTTTTTAATAGTCGATAATTCGTAGACACATGGAATCGTCACAATATGTATTCAATATTTGTTTTATTCAGGCGATCATGAAACAATCACAGCGTTGTGTTTTGTCGTGTGAGTTAGAATACCGGGGTGGTAAAATGTGAGGTAAAATTAACCGAGTCAAGTCCTTTGTTCTCGTAAAAATAATTCCACCATAGCTATTTCACCCAGGCGAACCAAGTGGAATAAGCCAAGTAAAGTAATAAAGCCCACTCCGAGTGGTCCGTCACAAAAAAATACATTAGACCTTAGATCATTTGCAGCGGTAAGACCGTTCTTTGAGGAGTGGCTTGAGAGACGCCACAGCGTCCTCACCTTCCGCCTGACACATGTGCTTACCGGGCACGGCAGTTTCGGTAGGTTCCTGTTTCGGATCCAGCGGGAGAAAACGCCCGAATGTCGTCATTGTGAGGACCACCTAGAGGACACGGTGGAGCATACGGTGGCGGAGTGCCCTGCTTGGGCTGAGCACCGCCATGTTCTCAGGGAAATGATCAGCGGCGGCGACCTCTCGCGCCCGGCTTTAATCGAGGCAATAGTTCATAGCGAGAGGAGCTGGGAAGCTACCTCCTCCTTCTGCGAAGCAGTCATGCTCGCAAAGGAGGAGGCGGAGCGCGTGAGGGAACTATCCTCTTTGCGCCCCAGCCGCGCAGAAGGTGACATTCCGGACGTCGGGGTTCGGCCAACGTAAGCGCGGGTCTGCGGACGGCGAGTAAGGGTAGCTCGCCGCCCGACCAGAACCGGACCCGAGCGTAAGGCGCGTAGCATTCTGCGCGCGCCTCAAAGAGCTACATTCGGGGCCCAATAGGGCTGATGTTGAAATGAGTCACCGCGACCTCGGCCCAGAGCAGGAGAAGGAACGGGGGGGGTTTTAGTCAGTAAGAGTCTGATATTCTCTCTCGCCTTACCCTGGGCGGGAGAAGTCATTGGACTATTTTCCCCTGACAAAAAAAGACTTTAGATCATTTAAGAAATTAAGCAATAAATTGCGTCGTCATCTTCCAACACCTGCCATTTCAAAACAGAAAAAAGTTACCTTACTTAGCGCGGGTCTGCGGACGGCGAGTAAGGGTAGCTCGCCGCCCGACTAGAACCGGACCCGAGCGTACGGCGCGTAGCGTTCCGTGCGCGCGTCAAGTAACCAACAGACCACCACATACGGGGCCCTATAGGGCTGATGTTTTGCCGAGGTACCGGGGTAAGCGCAATAAGGCACCGCAACCTTGGCATAGAGCAGGAGAAGGCACGTGGGGGTTTTAAGTTACAAAGAGGTACCTACACTCCCTCCCGTCCCACTATGGGCCAGGGAAGTCATTTGATGATTGTTGTCAAAAAAGGGTTACTGACCTTTAATAATAAACATTACCTACATTGCATTAAAATATTCCAACGCCTGTAATTTGAAAGCAGGAAAAAATTACCTTACAAGCTATTAACGTTAAACATTACCTACTAAATTAATTTACAATGGCTTATCAATATTTTGGCGTATCAGAGAAGCTTTGTAATCTCGTCTGTCTGTACAATTGATTTTCTTTATCCGCTTTATCTTATTTACGTTTTTATCTATGTTTCATTCTAAAGGGTCACAGAATATGAGTCACTGGCATTGTCTCATTGAAAATGAGTGCAAAATGTCTGAATCTTCTTTGGTATTTGAATAGTACTGATTCAGAGTTTTATCAAAGAGTCATATGGGATAAGTTTCCGATAAGAATTGACTCCCAGTTCAAGTATTATGATAAGGTATTACATTGACATCGTTGAACTAGTGTGGCACTTGGTCAAGAACGACTAGAATATAAAGTTGTTTTATGGTTACTATGTTTAGTTCAGCCGTTTTATAGATTTGCTGTACATGATGTTGTTTTTCTTATTGGGCAATTTAGCTTAGCTGAAACTTAGACAAAGCGGTAGTTTCCAACTAGTCAAATTCAATACTTTTATCCAAACGTCAAAAACGATATTTTTCTATGAAATTTGTATGAAAAACTGAGTTATAATTATATTTGTCAATTATTAGCTAAAAAAATCTAAAACTTAGTGTATCGATCGATCGATGAATAAAAGTAGGTATAGTTGTTTTTCGACATTTTATTGTATTGAAACGTCAAATTGTTTTATTTTTGACCTAGGAAACTATCCAATTAACAACTAATTGTTAGTTTATTTCCATACTATTGATTGATATATGTAAGGCAAAGAAAAACCCTTTTTTAAGAGATGAGAAAATTATAAATTTTTAAATCTGGGAGAGCCAAGCTACGGCACTACCGGGGTGATACCACGGCCTCACAGAAAACCGGCGTGAAACAATCACAGCGTTGTGTACATAAGGATAAGGATATACAACGTTGTGTTTCGCCGTGTGAGTGAGGTTACCGGAGGCCCAAACCATCACACTTGCCCCATCTCTTTCCAATCCTCGAATATCCGAAACCCTTATCCTCAAAA